TTCGCTTTCAGTCCTCAGGATACTAGACAATCCATCACCAAATTTCTTGCTAGGCAACACCTAAAGGCTATCTGTCTCTTGAATCTGTGATGCCTTGCTCGAACAGCACAACATGCAAAGTCAATAGGAGTTAAACTTCGAGCTACCTTTGTATACAGTAGGATTTTAAAAACTTCAAACACCATACAGAAACACTTTCGCATACATCAACCTGCTTTTCATCCTCCACATGGAAAGACCAATAAGACTGGCCATATTTGTGAATAAAGCCAACCATTTGAAAAGAATATAAAGGTGTAAACTACTGAAAAATACACAATGTGAACACTAGTATGAAAACCTAATGGACATAAATTACCACTAAACGGATTTCAAGAAAAATTCAAAACCTTAACTAAAATAGATCATTTTAAAGCTGGAAAATTCTTTTGACGCAACAACTACACAAAAGCAGAGTTTATTCTCTACAGTTACGAAATCTCAGTCCTTTTTTAAAACGCGCGCAATAAGTACTGCGTTCTTCGCCAATCAATACTACATACCCTATATATAATATGCTATTTTCATAAATTTACCGTCCTGTTTCATATAATTTGCGAATATATTGTATTCTATCATGTTTTTCGTGTTTTAAATGGTGAGCACTATGGAGTTGGATACGCGTATTTTTGAAATACTTTATAACACGTTTGAAATCTTACACTATAAACTTCTTACTTCGATCGTAGGGATATATCAGTCTTAAGATTATAATATTTTCGATTTTTGCATATATTTTTATATGTAATAGAGTAGGATTAATCTTTGGCTCACGTACGTTTCCTCTATTTCTTTTTTTTCTTCTAGATAACTGGACTTATTGTTCCTAACGCCTCCCAAGCACACAAGATACCTTAAAGCTAGGAGCGGACATAGAAAGGGCCAAAATTTATTTCTTATCGATGGCACTACCATTTCTTCCTGGATACAGTTTTAATAGAAATGTAAACTCTTATTGTTCTTATGTATTTCTTAAGATTGGGAAAGAAAAGTTCCACAAATCACATTACTTAAAACTGGAAGGCGATGAAGCCTATGTGCATGGCGATGACAAGCCAGGGATTGGTGGAGAAAAGCTACCAGGACAAAGAATCTATGCACCAACCAGCGTCTATCCATCTGGTATGGGTAGTCAGTTCCCTGCATGGCTAGCGTTTGATAAACAGGTACGAAAAAGGCGAAAATGCCATGTTACATTTATCGAATGCATAGTAAAATACTTAGGTACGTGGTAGTAAATCAAAGGTATTTTGCAATACTTATAATGAAAGGTGGACGATCAACAATAAATAAATGTTGCAAAACTAGCAATTCTGAACACTTCTTTCTTAATATAAAGATGCTTTTGGTCATGGTCAAATATAGATCCTTTCCGAATAAAAAGTTTGTGGAATTACGAATGATTGAATACTACAGAGTTTTGTCTAATTTCCGAAATTCTTATATGAGGTTCACAAACTGCTTTAAAGTACACCACATAAATCCTATTCTGGTTGTTGGATAGCTAATTATTTACAGATCTAAAACTTTATTTCTAACACTAAGAATTTGCAACAAAGAAAACTGTCAGCTTGTGCCAGCTTGTTTCGGAATCAATAATAATTTATTTTATTCTCCTATGTGATCCTCTGGTTTGTTTTCGTATTTTACAGTCTCATCAAAGTGAAGGAGGAAATAAGCTGCTCCAATTGTTTTACTATTATGATCATAAAACTACGACTTACACATTCGACTTCTATATCAACTGTATGTCTGCATGTTTTATGAGCTATGAAGATTGATCATTTTTCCTTGCTCACCCATCTCTTTCATATTTGGCTCATACGTTGTGGGTTTTCTTCGTTAGTTATCTACGTAAACTTTTTGAGTTAGTGCTTGTGATTTATATGAGTCTATTTCAATTATTTAATATATATTTTTGAGTATAGGGTTGTGGAGATTGTGATTTTACTTCTGATAAAAACGGCATGAAAAATCCCACTAAGTTATGAACCGTTTAGTATTTTTATGTTCAATTTTCAGCCTTCGAAATCCGTTATTCTTTTTATGATAAAAAATAAACTCCATGCTTAAAAATGTTTCCTTGTTTAAAGGATCAATTCTAAGGCTCAGTTTTGCTTGTGATATAATAGAACTCAATCCAGTTTCCAAGTAATTACTAATATGTTAAGGAAAGTATTCCGTACACAGTAAGTTTGTTAGTTACACAGAGTTTTAGAAAAACTTTCTTTTATAACGATGTTATTGTCCTTTAGCAACTTGTTAAGTGAATATTTGTGCTAGTAATTAGGTCTTCTATTCAGTAATGAATGCAAAAACGTTTTATTTGACATTGACCTTATACTTGTTTGTACTTATAATCTGTTGAAACTGGAATATGTGCAATTATGTACATTATAAGATAGAAGAGTTGGTGTATTATGACATGGAGTCAGTAGAACATTACCTATTACATCTATTGTAACTTCCATTTGTAGTATGTTTGGACTCGTTTTGTACATGCGTATTTCGGACATGTGAAAAGATTGAAGTAAGAGAGTATGTATTGTAAGTACCTACTTAAAACAAAAACTAAAATATCTAGTTAGAAATAAAACTCTTCATAATTTGTATCAGCCTAAATTTAAGCGAGCAATGCTCAGGAACACGTGAACCTTAGGAGATATCCTAATAATACTGAACTCATTTCCTACATTTTTACAAGAAGTTAAGTAGAAATTGATAACATTTAAATGTGTTTTAGGCTAACCAGGCCATAGTGACTGTTGACTGGATGTAAGTGAATAATTAAATAGATGTAATGGTCACTTTTACCTTCCTACCTATCATGTGTGAATACGGATTGTGCAGAGTTAAATGTATTGATTTGATAAAAGTTAGGAACCATCTGAAACATTGATATGTATTATTTGATGTTTGATATCACGTATGTGTCATATTTCTTAAAATATTTGGAGAATCAAACAAAGCTTATGGATTTACTTGCAAATAACCGAGGCCGTCATGGAAACTTACTGTTACAGTAAATGATATAGGATTATTATGCTGTTCATCACACCCCAGGTAAAAATCCGACTTTTATCGATCATTTTTGTTTACAGTAATTTTTATAAATCTGCTTTTTCTACGTTTCAAACTAACAAACAACTTTATTTTCTGATCTTTTACGACTAGGCCTTATCTTTTGATGCTTATTTCCAAGAGTCCGTTAATGAAAGACGTGAAGAACAATATCGTATTAGAAAGTGTAAAATCTTATTTTACCCAGAGGATGACACTATTCAGGTCGTTGAGCCACGTATAGCAAACACTGGAATGGCCCAGGGTAATTTATGCTATGATTTGCTTCTGCTTTTTAATTCCATTTTAAAATGTTTCCTCTCTTAGTTTGCCATTTTTCTTTGCCCTCAACTGTGTCGTGCAATCTGTTTGGTCATTTCTTTGTCTTTGATTTTATTTCACATCATGTACCTCCCATTGATTTTTGAAACACTTGTGCTAAATATTAATTTACAGCTAGAGTTATAAGACCTCATAAAGCTTTCTATAAAGTATGTTTTTTTTAAAAGCGAAAATTACGGTGAGTAAGGTTAATTTTGAGTTTTTAAAACTAAATGTTAAAGAATTTATGCTGGTATAGTTGGATTGTTTAACACCACATTATTTCTACTCACAGCATTCTTTATTTTAGAAATAAACTGGTGTATTAAAGAAATACCGAAGTGAAGAATTACCATTCTAAGTTCGTTTAGTTTACATGTGAATTTATAGGAAATATTTAGCTACACCTATACAGTTTTAAGCAATTTTGGCAAAACTTGCATTGTCGCTGAAATTTATCTCAATAAATAATGTATATGATTGATTACTCTGGTAGCAGTTTCCATAACTCATTTAGTATCAGCTAAAGAGACATCGCAGATAGTGAATCTTGAATAAACGTTCCAGTTTAATTTGGAAACTCCCAGAAGTGAACATCACCTCGTATCTTCTATCTTAAACTTTGTTTTGAAGTTACCCAGTGAAAGTTTGTTTTATAGTCTCAAATAAATTCATCTTCAAACTAATACCTCATTATTCATTTCTTGAGTCATCAACCTCACTGGGGTTTTATTCGAACAATCAATGAATCAAATTCAAACTGAGGTATCAAAAATGGTCTGTTATCAATGTTCAACTAGTTTTGAACTTTCCGGTTCACATAACTTACCAAGGTCTATTTTCTGAGGTGATACTGGGTGGGTTATTAAAATATTAAACATAAATTGGGGTGCTGATAAATTTTCCAGAATGTTGACATGAAAAACTCAATGAAATACCATATAAAACAATGCTTAGCGATTCCTTTCTCTTTATATATTACTGTCCTATTCTAAATTCCATTTTTAATCCCAGAGTTGCGTATATATCAATAGGGTCCGTAAACTCAAATAACTGATTTATTATACTAAAAAACGTAAGGTTTCGGAAACAAGAATTTAGCTATTGAGTAGTCATATTTATATAAGTTCCAAAAACTATCTTATATAGCAGAAAATGAAAAATAGTTTGAGCATTATCCTAAAAAAGCTGATCAGTAGATAGATTAAAACCCCCTTCATTATCACTGCGATAACAATTTTTCAAGATTATAATTGATTAAAATGATCCAAGAATAATTATTCTGATGTTACTTGTTTATCAAGGAACAATTATTAAACGGCACCGTATTTCCAAACCTGTACCAAATGAACATCTCTATTATACTGTGCATGATTTCAATGTGGGAACAGAGTTTGTAGCATATGGAAAAACATTTCGAATTGTTTCTTGTGATCAATTTACATCAAATTTTTTACGTAAACTTGGTATAAAATTAGGTAAACCAGAACCAATACCAGATGATCCTTACAGTATTCATCGTAAAGCTGTAAGTAGGTTAGGTGTTTATTTCATTTTAATTAATTTATCTTGTAAAAACGGTAAGTTATATTATTTTTATTATATCACTATATGTTATATTAAAACACTTTTAAGTACGTGTAATTGAATTCTGTTAAGGCTTTTATAAACAATAGCATGTTTTTTGTAAAACTGTTATCCTGAAAAATAGGAAAAGTACTATCCATAATGAAAAACCGAAAAAAACATAAATTTATTGTTCACTTTTGGAGTAATAAATGTCACATCACACCATAAAGTGATCAATCGCAACAATACATAAATAAGCCGAAAGTGGCTATGAATGGGAAAGACAATAACTAATCAACCGTCAACAAACTAGCAATAATAAACCCTATGAGAGTAGTTTATGAGTTTATTTAAATCTTATTAAGAATGGAACGCATACACATAGCGTAGTGAACAAGAGCACGATTGGGGACAATCAGATGTATCTGACACGAAATTACGGAGCATCTCACTTAAATCTGAGAGACAAATAGTGAATACATAATTTGAAAAACATCATTTCATTGTCTCAAACTTGACTGTTACTTTTGTGAATATCAATCCATTATCTCAGATCTCATTGTTCGTGTATTTTCATACCAATTGCGTTCTGTTCCGTTCCCATTCTTTCCTTCCCGATCTCCTACTGAAATACATTCTATGCCTGACCACCGTTATATACTCCTTATATGGATATAAGTAGTTCACACCAAAATAGTAACCTGATTATCACTAATTATACAAAAAATTACAATTAATAATGATTTGAAAAAAGTTCCATATTTTACAATATTCATTTCATTATTATATACCTTGTAAAAAGTAAACATTCAATCTACCAAGTATTTAATATCTTCATTTTATATTAGTTTACTGAGAGTATGCAACCACTTAGACCATATGAAAGAATGGATAAACTTCGTCAATTTCTTGATCATGATCGTCATGTGTTGAGATTTTTCTGTTTTTGGGATGATACAGAATCACTTTATGGTGATCCTAGAGAAATGATATTAAATTATTTTCTAGGTAAGCTAATAAGTTTAATGTTTTGATCTAATAGTGAGAAATGAAAGATTATTCTATCAGTTTTCAGAACCTTGATTTTCATTTATAATTAATCATTGATTCTATACCGTACAGGTTCAAAGTTCTGTATATAAATCATAGTTTTACTTCTTTATTTATTCAATTGACCAGTTGTCTTATTTATCTAGATCTATTGAATAGATATTTTAAGACCGATCGGTAATTTATCATTTACAGCTCCAATTGATCGAATTTATTTCTATATAATAATCAAGAAGTCTGTCGATCAAAAACATTGTTCTACATCACTAACTGTATATGAAGTAGATGGTGTTTGTATGCTTAATAGTATTAATAATAAGTCTTCCAGCTTGTTGAAATTACCAGCAGCTAAATCTAATAATTGCAGAAAACAGACGAAAAGTTTAAAAGTTCAACAGCTACATCTTTTTTGCACTTTCTGTGCTGAAAGGGGTATTTAAATAAAACTATTCTCAACAAACCATTTGACAAAAACAATTTAATTTTCAATTGAATGATTTTATTCTTGTAAAAAAAAGTTTCAACTTTAGTTTACTTAAACATAAAACTCTTTATTTTGTCATTTAATACTAAAACGTAGTTTATCTTTTGCAGCCGATGATACAATTGAAATACGTGAAATTATACCAGCTAATTCAGGTCGTGATGCTGTACCATGCTTTTTACGTCGTCAAAAACTACCACGTACAATTGCATCAATACCGTTGCCGGGTGTAGTAACTGACAGAACACTACTAAATGTGTTCGGTCATCCACAAAGAGGTGGACATTATATACTTGATAGTCTAAAGGTAATAATAAAAAGAAAAAAACGAAACTTTCCATTTTTCTTTAAAACTATGTTTATAAATGTAAATACATTCATGGAAATTCTATGTTGCATGATTGACGTTGTCATATTAATCATTACTGAGTGTTTAATAAAATTGATTATCTGAAATAGTCCTGGGTTCGAATCTCGCGGGGCGCGAGATCGTGGATGCGCACTGCTAAGGAGTGCCACAATAGGACGAAACGGCCGTCAAGTGCTTCCAGTTTTTCTATGGTGGTCTAGCTTCAACTGACTCATGATCTTAACCATTAAAATAGTTTTGTTTGGTAAATCACTTTGAATACTTCTTTAATAGTCATAATAACTTATGTAAAGAAATCTAGTATATTACAGGAATTGAAACCTTGATTTCTACTTGAGTAACCGGATTATATGATAAATGTCCTGCAAATTTTCAACACCTAATCAGTTTACAGATAATATTGCTAAAAGTCAGTAGACTGTTCTTTATGATAAGTAGATCCGAATAGGTTTAAACACATGAATCTAAAACTTGATGTCATAAGTTAAATTCATGTTTGGTTATCATTCAGTTGTTAAAGATGATCTATATCTTCGGCTAACAAGTCAAGGTCATAGGTTCTTCTTACTGGAAATATACAACTATCTACACTCATTTCGTACAAATATAATTGGCATTTTTCATAAAATTTAGTTCATAATCAAAAGTATTAAACTGTAATAAATATTTACAACATTACTAAATATATCTAATTACTATGATATTACTACAGTAAAATACAAATGTGTCAAGTTATTTCAGTAGTTTGAAAGTAATAAGGTTTACATCAGTAAAATAAAAGTCAATAAATGGTTTTATTACAACCTATTCTTGTATTCATTGGTGGAATGAGCTTATGATAAATTGTTAATTATTACTATTTCTATAGATTTATTAGGAAATGACCTTATGCAATATAAACATTTTAGGGTGTTAACCAATATAATAGAAATTTACTAAGTGTATATTTTGGCTCTGGTCCACCAGGGTGCTTAGTACCTGTGTGGTTGCGCCCCAGGATTGAAATGTACCTTTCAGATTGTAGCGTTAAAGCTTAGATAATGTCTGGTTCTCCTGTGAGGCGGGATTGAGCTGTACTGCTCGGGTTATAAAGTTTAATCCTGGATGGTGTCTGGTTCTCCTGGGAACGGGATTGAGCCGTACTATTTCGGATACAAATTTTAGGCCTGGGAGAGGGTGTCTGGCTGTCTTTTTAAACGGAATTATGCTGTATTGTTTGGGTTGTCACGTGAAAGTCTGGGTAGTGTCTGGTTCTCCTAAAAGCCAGTGTAAAATTACCTTGGCTTACAAGGGTTTATAAAAAAAGAAAGAAGAAAAAGTTTTTGCTCAGGTTTCTATATATTCTGGATAGGCCTATTACAGAATTTCTTCCGTTTTTATACTAATCAGTTCAAATAGTTTAATTCAAGGACCTATAAAATATCCATATAAGCGTTGTATTCTTGTTATTGATATAACTATACTCAGTTACAGTTTATGCTGTATTTTTTATATTTTACTAATTTAGTGACATAGAAATTTACAATAGTTGACTGGCTCAGGATACAATCACTTGATGTCGGAAAAATAAATAAGATTTCTTCACAATTCATTGATCACTGGGTAGTGCTCAATGTCATGCTTGTCTAGTCCTTATTAGTGCAGATCGAATGCTATCGACCAAGTTGCAATGTAGCCACTAGTCTAGGTGACTCAACACTGCATGAACTAATGTGAGATTAGATGATGGTTGGAGGTAGTTTACAGGAAATCCTGGACACGGGTTTCGTGCTACTTGGAACTCGTCAGCAAGGTTTACCTGTAATCTTGATGGAATTGGTGCTCACTGACGGATTCGGTCATGTGTCAAACAGCTTCACAGTCAGAGACGTTACTATTGTGCTATCCGGGCCGTGATCGGCCTCCTGTGGGACTGAGATGTAATCACAATCAATTGATCTATACTAAGAAGGACTTGACACACATGACAGTGATTACCACTCCGTGATCAATCAGTTGTGATTACATCTCAGTCGTACAGGAGGTCGGTCACGACCCAGATAGCACAATAGTAACGTTTCTGACTGTGAAGCTGGGTGACACGAGATCGAACCCGTCAGTGAGCACCAGTTCCCTCAAGATTACAGGTTTACCTTGCTGACGAGTGCCAAGTAGCACAAAACACGGGTCCGGGATTTCCTGTCAACTACCTCCAACTACCATCTTATGCCATTTGTTTCCTTAGGATACTGGAGCCATGTGCACCATTGGTTTGGACTCAGTGTTTCCCAATTCCCCTATGTGTACCCTCTATGTCCAGCAACCTGGTTAAGGCCTCAGATATTCGCTTTTCGTTTTCTCAATTTCGCAAACAACACCTCTGCACCGAGAAGGCAGTGAGTAAGATTTTCGTGGCAGTGGTTGTATGCACGTAGCTATGTGAGAGCATTTCTAGAGGGAGAGCTGACTCTCCTTACTTTCAGCCATATTAGGACATTTGGGGGTGATATTGACTCTCGATAGAATCCAATAAATAACATTTATTTTTTGAGGACTTTTGCTTAACGGTTTAAGCTAATTTTAAAAGAGATGAAAAATAAACTTAGGAAATGTACCTATTCACAAAATGTTAACCATTGTCTTTGTTTAATATTTATAATTTTTATTTTAATGGTATGTCATAATTAAAATAAATGATCCACTTATTTCTTCATTTCACTAAAACTAGCTTGGTGCACCTAAAGATGACTTTTACAAAGATCATGATTTAACAATCGGTACAAATATTAATGTTTACGGTAGAAAGTTTTTAATATGCGACTGTGATGAATTTACCAAAGAGTATTACCGTATCAAGTATGGCATACGTAAGTCAGTAATTTTCTCTTTGCATTACGATTACTAATTATATTGATGCCAATACATGACAAATCTGTTATGGTCACGATTTATGTCTCCAACTCATTCCCATACCATATTAGGATAGATCATTTCAAATTACTTAACAGTATTAGAAATTTGTAGAGATGGTTCTATTTGACGGTAGTATCTATCACTGACCAAATTTAGTCAGAAAATCAATAACAAACAATATACCGTTAACAACTTTTCGTCCTTTTCTAGAAATCATTTGCATTGGATAAATACCAGTGGCTACAGGCTTTGTTATATGTTATATCCCGATAAGAATAATGAATGGTAATTTTTGGGATCCATTTATGGACCAATACTATGGGCATATTTTTATCGTATAATTGTTAAGTACCTAGACTGTCCATAATCATGTCCCGCTTATTATGAGTTTTATTTTGACCTATGAACTATTATTACAAGATTAACCATTCTTGAGTTATAGCCTGTCTATTAACTACTAACTCCCTCATTCACAGCCGCATTTGGCTAATTCTTGTGCAAATGTTGTCTCATATTTTATGGTACGTTGTGGTCTGTCTGGTTGATATATAAACCCAGTATGCTTGAAATAAATGATTCGTATTTCAGAGGCTGAGATTGGTGTTCTGAACTTAACTGGCTGGGCTGACAAAAAGCGAGACCAATAAGGACTCTATGCTGCTCGCACGTGTCACTGGTTCGATCGATAATTCGCTGCTCTCTGATTGGTGGTATCTTTGTGTTATCCAATAAACAGGGCACACAGGTTTACAAGTTATAACGTTATATGAGACAGGCATCATGGATCCCAATATTACGAATAAAATTCAGCTGGTAATGTAGTCCATCCAAAACGAACTTAGTAGTATAAGCGTAACTCTCACTTAGCGAAGCCTGAAGTTCTTAGACTTGAAATTTGATAAAGCTGCTGATACATGCTGTTGAGCAGTCCTATACTGAGACGAAATAGCTGTTCACAGATTTCTAGTTATTGCTTATTGTCTAGCTTTAACTAGCTCATGACGTTAGTCACTTCCAAAGTAAACTACTTACGAGTAGCTAAAACTATTTATATAATTATTTCAACAATATCTCATGTTTTTTAGTCTACATGACTAGTTAAACTCATTTTATCAAGGCTGTATTGTGTCCATTCATTTAAGTAACTTAATAATGGCACAAATCCATGAAGTCACCGACAAGTGGACTGAGCCATGTTGGTAGGTGTAGATTAACTGGTTGGGATCTGCGAGACGATAGCAACCGGTTGTTAGAGTCCCTGAATGACATGGCTCAAAATCGTTTGCAATGGCACAGGTGCATCCGCTCTTTGTGTTCTCTCAAATTCCAATCTTCTGAATTCTTCATGTCCCTTTTTCTCTTTTCAAATTAATTTCACTGGATTATATTCCTTGAATAACATCTTCAAACCCTAATCTTTCCGATTACTGCGTATACTTGTACTAACTCTACCACTATGAAATTTGAATAAACAATTTTATCTCTATGCTAATGTGGCATGGCAACTCGAACTGATGTACGTACGTACGAAGCTCTACGTTGTTGCTGACTGACTGAATTATTCTAATGAAAAATAGAATAGAAGTGACGCTCATAATTACAACTATTCCATGTTTACACATAATTTAGCTTTAGAGTTATTAGCTCAAATAAGATGTGCAAAATAGAAACATGAGGAGGTTCACGCAGATATGTGATAGCTAAAGGGTTATACTTCTACTCGTAAAATACTACTATCAGATAATTCTAGAATGCACCAAAAGTCCTTAGGTAACATTACTCAACGTCAGTTTCAGTGGCACAGATTTATTCGTTCCTTATTATCTTCTAAATCGAAAGTTGTGGGGACCTGGTCTAATTCACAGTGCTAACAGGTCCAATGTTGTTTTTGACTGACTGACCTACTGATTTAAGTTCTATAAGCTAAGGTAACTGATCAATTGCAGTTCTAAACATGATTGGGAAGATCCACGCAAACAATACAAAAATCACACAAGTTCTCTTTGAAAATTAATATTTATGATTTATCACGATTGATTTTTGTTAATTCTTTGCAGAAGATTTCACCCCAGTTAAACCTAGGCTTCAAGATCATATCACCACTGTGAAACGTGAAATTCCACCATATAACGGCTGGGGTACTGATGAAGATTCACTAGCTAATTGTTATAGTTTAATACCAAAAGCACCAAATCATAATTTTAAAAAATTCATGGAATTAGACCGTCAAGGTTTAGAATCTCATGTTTTACGTTTTGCTGGACGTTTATTGTCTGACCGACCGATAGATCGTGATCGTCAGTTTGTGATTAGTTGCTACTTGTCAGATGATACAATTTCAATTTTTGAACCCCAACAAAAGAATTCAGGTTAGATATTTTAATTTCGAATCTTTTCCTCTTAATCATAATGATGATTATTTATTCTTTAGGATATCAGTCTTTTCAATCCTTTATTCACTAATACTAGTAAAGGTTTACACTTCTAATGTATTCGACTGATGGATCCCAGATATAAAGAAACACACTGCCAACCATTATTCAAACTGTATCCTTTTATTTGTTTATTAAAATGGAAATTATTAAGCCCTAAATATTTAATAAATCTTCAATTCACTGTGGCTCATTAACTAATTTTAACCAAAACAGAGTTAGTCATTATTCTACGGTTAGAGTCTGGCCATTTCATCGCTGAAGCTGATAGATTACTTGTTAAGATATTCGAATTGTGTTAAACTATTAAAGTTATCTATACGTATATGTTTTAATCAAACGAAGTTTTCATATCAAAGATTTTAAAGAGATCATTGTTATTACACAATACAAATTCTTCATATAAAACTTTATTACATAAGTGTAAAGCTTCTTAAAATATTTTCATTTCAGTAGTTGAGGTCATGAGTCAATTGAAGATGGACCACCATGGGAAACGTGGAAGTATTGAAAGGCCCCACAATACAAAGAAACGGTCGTCCAGTACTTTTAGGTTTTCCATGGTGGTCTATCTTCAATTGACTTATGATCTCGACTATTAAAGTTACTATAATATCTACAAAACCCCTTCTGGTATTAAAATATTCTAGTTTCAACACAGATTATGAGAAACTAGAAATTTCTAAATTCAATTCCCAAATTAATTTATTATTTGTTTTCTCTGAATCATCATAAATTTAAGGTTATATAAATCTAACGGCATTTTAAATGTTACATACAAATGTAATTTAGGTTCTGGATTCTAAAGTCGTAGAAATAACATGAACAAAGAATGTTTAATATGACTTATTGTTTAGATAATAATTTTAATAATATAATAGCTGAATTCATAAGTCAACTGAAGCTAGACTACTATGGAAAATGAGGAAGCACTGGAAAACCGTTTCTCCGTAGTATGAGACTCCTCAGAAGTGCGCATTTACGACCTCGACTCACGAGATCCAAACCCAGGATGTATCGACGTCACGCGCGAACTTAATCGTTAAAGAAATTTCTGTTGAAAGCAAAGTAAATATAAGTATTGATGAACAAAGTGAATTTTTTTAGTGTCTTCTTCATATGACAAATTATTTTATCAGATAAATCAGTGAATCCTCTGAATGTCAACTTATTCATTCTTAAGATTCCTTTAGTAGGAATTATGAACTGAGTTTATGAATTTGTATTATAAAAGACAAAAGAAATAGGTATATCATTAAAAACATTAAGTACAGTGATCATTCACATCTTTGTCTATAATGAAATTTACTTATAAATGGTATTAAATGTAAAAATGAATTCCTTATTAGGTCTCTAGTTTGATGAAAATGTTTATGGTGAAGACTGGAAATAACTCATTAAATAATTTATTCAATAAAGAACCTTTATATATCAGTTTTGATTTGTGCTTTAAGGATTTTAATGTTACTATAATATCCACAAAACCCCCTTTCTGATATTAATCAACGTATGCTTAATAGTGACTGTCTCCGAGAGGTATTTCCTGGAGTTCTAGTGAGAAGCAGTGACCAGTGCAATTCAACCGTCCGTTGTCAGGTAGTAACTCATTGAAGACAATGGTAGATGTGTCGCTCAATTTTGTGAATTGGTTGAACTTACACATTAACACCGTTGGATGCTGGCTCAGTGGTCTAAAGGTTAAGTATTGGCGTGCGAGACTGATAGACCCTGAATTCGAATCTTAAGAGGCAGAGTCGTGGATCAGCATTGCTGAGGATTCCCAAACTAGGACGAAACGATCGTCCAGTGCTCCTAGGTTTCCCATGGTGGTCTAGCTTCAATTGACTATTGTGATTATATTATTGTCAATCCCTAAATGAAATATACTTTTAAACCATAAAAATTTGAATTTTTGACATTTCTTGATATTTTAATATCAAGAACAATAGATGACAGCAAAGAGACAAGCATTTTTACATGAAATATCACATGTTATAAAATATATTAACTTAAATTGTTATCTTTCCCTTCAGTACAAAAATGATTTCATCTACAGAATTTAGTAAGTCAGGGTAGACACAGGGAATACTGTTGAAGAGTTAATAACATTAGTACACATGACTCTGTACGAAGAATTTATCAAGGTTAATACAATTAAAGTAGCAACTGAAAATCACTCAACATGAATAAGCAACAACAAAAGCAACTATTATTTTTTTACACTTCAATTCAAGGAGATTGTAATTATTGAAGTAATTATAAACAAGAAAACTAAGATTATAGATGGAAAACTTATTTCACTCAAATTGTATATCGTTTATACACTTTGTTGTTTATTTTCTATACACGTCTATATGTACTTATAAATTTAGTTGTTCCTATAATAATTATAAGTAAATAAGTATTGTGGTGTGGACTACTTATATCCATATAAGGAGTATATAACGGTGGTCAGGCATAGAATGTATATTAGTAGAAGATCGAGAAGGAAAGAATGGGAACGGAATGGAGAGCAAATGGTATGAAAATGCATGAACAATGAAATCTGAGATAATGGATTGATATTCACAAAAGTAACAGTCAAGTTTGAGACAATGAAATGATGTTTTTCAAATTATGTATTCACTATTTGTCTCTCAGATTTAAGTGAGATGGTCCGTAATTTCATGTCAGATACATCTGATTGTCCCCACTCGTGTTCTTGTCCAGTACAATAGAATAATATAGTATGCTGATCGTCAATTTCTTGGACTCTATACAGCATGGTTAGATAAAATGTTTAATACATAATATAAAATCAACGAAAGTTCAATAATCATCATTATATATATATGGTGTTTCATGGTGTTCATTTACTAACTATAATAGTGACAACAAAAATCAGAATTTTCGAACTAAATCTATATAAATCTGCATTGTGTTTAGTAGTTCTTTCATCCTTTATAGTCTTTATCAACTATCGTTTAATAACAAAATTCATTCTTTATTTCAGTTAATAGAAAAGTGTAATTATTAATTTTATGTATTTTTTAAGTATTACTACTGGTTGTATTGTTGTTAGTAACAGTTTTATTTTTGATTAAATAGTGAGTCATTCATTTTATGATATCTACAAGTCTCTTCTTACAACCTGTACACGTAACAAGTTAGCTTGATGGAATTATTATTGATATCATCATTATTTAGTTAAATTAGATTCATCGTAGCATATGTGCTTATATTGTTTTTCAAGTAATACAATTCATGTTATCATTTAGATCGCCAGATAGTATTCTATCCGGCTGTCCAATTCAGTTACAATATACACTTCACACTGTATACGAAACCCAATTACCAAGTGAGTAGTTGCGAACCTGAACTATGATCAACATAAACCATGGGGATAAACTCATTCACTTTTTTTTACCCAGAAAAGGACATGTAGCTTAAGACCTCGAGTCGTGCATCGGCTTCTTTCAATAGTATGTCTCATGTATAATGTTACCTACTATTCAATATTGAGGCCGCATGTAAGCACCGACACGTAATATGTTTAAACTCTTGCGGTCTAGCAGACAGTCATAGAAACTAAAACCGCTTCGGAGTCACCTAATTTAGAATTACAGTCATATTACCGTGACAGCTCTTGATATGACTACCCTGATATTTGTTACAACCAACTAAATATTTTTGTATAACCTGTCCAGTTTAAATAATCAGTAAGAGGATATCTACAAAAATACTTAAGAATTAGAGAAATAGTTTGTTCAAAACTCTCGATAATTCCTCAAAGGTGTCTTTAAAAGCCGGGAAAATACTGGGAACACTTCGGCGACTTATAACACATCCCTCCCCAGGTCGAACAATTACTATACTTTTCATCAATTTCAGTATGATTTTTAGTAGCTTCTAGAATCTGAAGTTACTATAAATAAAAAGTCCTCAAAGTAAAGTTTCTTCTAAACTTCTCGACTTCTGTCTTTTATTTGGATTTGAAAAGTGGAGGAATTGTGAAGACCAAAAGCAAATGTCTAAGTGTTAAAACACAAACTACCATCAGTTGGAAAGCTACTAAAACGCTTAAAAAATACTGGATAGCTATTTTGTTTTAGATTCTGAATGAGGTTCAATGTAGCATCTGTAGGTTTTACAAAGAACAATGTCATGAGGTAATAATCAAGAATACCATTTTAAAGGTAAACTACCGTACTAGTTGCGAGAACTATAGAACCGATTCGGCATCCAGTGTACTTTGAATTTTCAACCAACGTCTAAGGAACATCGGTTCATGATGATAACTACATTTAAAATATGGTTAATTTCACTATACTGATCGATTTTTATTTAAGGTATGGTTACTTCATTTATCCTTCTTGCGTGAGTCTTTATCCCATAGTACAACATTTTGCTGAGCTAATCAGTTGAGTTTCTAATTTTTTCCCAATAATATGACTCTGTTTGCACGTTCTCTAATATCAAGAGGTATGATCATCTTTATAAAAAAAATTAATGCTCGTTTCTTTTCCCAATTATCTAACTTTTTTATTTACTCACCCTTGTAAATACAATTCAACTCTTTCACCTACTAATTCTTCCTTATTTCAAGGTTTCCAAGGTGGTTTATTCTTAGAACGATCAAAAATAAAAAAACCCGACAGTAAATTATTTGATAATAAACCAATAGAATATTACAAACCAACAGATTTATATGTTGGTGCTAAACTGGATTTTAATACATTTCTATTTGAATTAACTGAAGCCGATGATTATACATTAGATTACATGGAGAAACATAAAACACAATTTAAACAAGCTGACTATCAATTAATATTGAATAAATTAATAACAATACTAAACAATGAACAATGTGATGAAATTATCAAGTATGCTGTAAATCAAGATCCAGATGATACGGGGACATTTGGCTTTGATCAAATGATAAATTTAATTAATCAGTTGACTGGTAAAGAGAATGCGTTAACAACCCATGAACTTGGTACATTGGCAAGACATTATGGTGTTAGGTAAGTGAATTTTTTTATTAAAACATACAATGATCTTTTTTTCGGCGAGACTATAATTTATGGGTAGATCAATCAGATATGAGATAACAAGTAATGAATTTTGCGCGAAATTCATCTACACATTTGGTTAAATAGAGTTTTGGCATCATAGCTGATGTTAGCTGACCGTCAACTGTAAATGAGAATTATAAATGACGTAGAACTTCTTACGTACGTACTGAATGACTGACTCATCTTGCTAATCACGATTCCATCAAGTTGATTATAGGTTTACTTATGCATAGATCTTAGTTTCCAAGAATGTTATAAAAATTATCATATTTACACAAAATAATTTCGAATCATTTCACTTTCCATTATTTGCACATGTATCTAAACGATCTCACAGATTATCATTTGTCCACCTTTGTTTTAATGTATTCTGTATATAGTCTATTTATACCTGAATAGAATATGACAAAAGAAACTGATTAAAAGTCAAAGCAATCCTGTTGCTCTCTTAATTAGATATCTAATGAGAAAGCAGGTAGACTTTATGATTTCAAAAATTATCCTTGACCTTTGAAAGACAATCATACATCTTGTCAGCGTTATATGTTTTAAACGAATATTTATTCTACTTTATATACTCTAAATTATATATATGCACATAGATTTTCTAAAGCTGAAGTTTTATGAATGTGGTTCTACGAGAAACACGTATAAAGTGGTTCAGTTTAGTGATAGAAAGTAATGATACACATATTTCATAATCATACTGCTATGTTTGAAAAGATTACGAGTTTACCTAATCTGAGAACGAAACGAAGACACTGTGACACAATGACCAGTAAGCTAGCTATTCCGACGCATCCAAGCCCCGCTAACTACGGAAAGAAGATCGAGTTCAAAACGGTGAAATATATTCCACAAGCATCCAAAAGCTCGAACAGTAACAACAAGCACAACACAAGCGTATATATACAGCATAAAAATGTCCTTCAGAAACGGCACAAAATAGCATACTAAACGAGATAACGAACCAATAGCATTTAAGTTCCTCCCAAGTTGAAAGTACGATATGAAAGTGAAAATGGGTGTTTTTGGCGCGAAAACGAGAAATTTACATTTTTAAAATAGAATTATAAAAATAAGGCATTTACCAAATGAGTTCTGGTGATCTAACATCAACAACACATACATACAATTAAAAAGAATAAATGAAACAGTTTATAGTATAACCAACTGCAACGAACATGTATAAGCTTTTTTGTGTCACGTAAGCAGATAAAATGACAGTAATCACAAAGCAGCTTGAGTAATAAATGATGATAGTAAGACAATAACATGAATTATCAAGTGATGAGTGATTTTAAACAGGGGTGAAGTAATAAGCAATAGTATACCATTCGAATGATCCAGAATATACTTCATTCAATGACTGACTGGCAAAGAAGGTAAAAGAAAAAGATCGAAGTACAATACTATATAAACATGTGCCAGTCGACTGATAGATTGAACGGCAATGGGTCGACAATAAAAACTAAGTTCTCGCCAGCCAATCACCATTTAGTTGGTTTGGATATATCACAGTGGTAATAATTGAAAATTTGAAAAGGCATGAAGACTATATTAGGTAGAACAATGTGATTTCGCACCCATTTGAGTTTGTTTCTGATATGATGGAAAGAAGAGTCAATTTTCTATTGATTTACTCATTCTAAGATTTGTTCAAGATTACTTCCTTTTTGATTTAATGTAATGATTACTCAATGTAGTATTTGTTTTCTTTTCTCGTATGATATTTTATTCTGTATAATATACGATATTCTTGTATTCGATTGATATGAATTATGCTGTCTGTGATTTGTTATAACTCTAAGTATGTTTCATATATGTGATTTTATCCTAATTATTAATTAAAATGGGTGTACAATCAATATATAAATGAGTGTATTTTCTACTAGAGTTGTCGTCGTCATCGTCATGTTTTGGGGGTTAATAAATCATCACTTATACCAGTCTTTGTGTTCTTACTTTCGCATCGTGCGAATTGCTGAGGTCTCTCGTTCTGAGTATAAGTGATAAGCGTTTCCGACATAACATTCAGCGACGACCAGATACAAAAAGTAGCATTAAAAGAGCCAAGACAATAAGCATTCAAACGACAAATTATAACAGTTTCACTTGCTAATTATAATCATTATTCTAACTTTAGACCATCCAAGCAAATAAATCTTGAAATTTTGCTTGGGATTGCACAACAAACACTTCGTAGAAAAGCATTTGAAGATTTTTCCAGTTTAATGATTGCCTGTCGCCAACATGATGCCGATAAAACAGGTGAAATGGACTGTCATGCAATAAGACGCATATGTTTAGCGCATCACCTACCATTACCTGATGACATGTTGAATTCACTTATGAACTGGTAAGTCAATTTTGTAAAATATTCGTCATAAAATATTGACTTCAGCTAGAGAGCTATTTAATACAATGAAGGACTGAACAGTTTAGGACTACTCAACAGAGTTCAAATACGACCACACTAGTAGTCGAACCATTCACTATTCAATAGTTCAAACTTTCAAATCCCAGATATTCCCAATACACTGTGACTAACTCATTTGTTTTGTTGTATTTTTTTACAATCGAGTTTTATAATTGTGCGATCTCATGTCTCTGAAACAGTAAGCAACTAACTGAAATTTAGTTAAAACCGGTGTTGTGTAAAAACGCTTATTTTCATAAGGTGTCTATAAATCTTCTGTAAATAGTTCAGTGAAAATATAATTTTCACGTGACTATAAACATTAATATAACATTTTCTGACAAGATATTTCAGCTATGAATAACTTGGTATCAATGTTGCTTCAACTTAAATTACAATACTTTTATTATTATATCAAGATAATAAAGCTCTTCGTATCTTTGAGAAATCTTATAACTCTAGAATGCAACACAATTTTCAAGATTACTTTCAACATGAGGATATGAAAAGACAAATGGCTCAAGATACAATCACTCGATGTCAGAAAAACTAATAAGCTTTTTTCAAAATTGATTGATCACTGGGTGGTGATCACTGTCATGTGTGTCAAGTCCTTATTGGTGCAGATCGAATGCTATCGACCAAATTGTAATGTGGCCACTAGTCTAGGTGACTCGACACTGCATGCATTATTGTGAGATTAGATGGTGGTTGGAGGTAGTCAACAGGAAATCCTGCCACTTGGTACTCGTCAGCAAGGTAAACCTGTGATCTTGAGGGAACTGTGCTCACTGACGGGTTCGATCTCGTGTCACCCAGCTTCACAGTCAGAAACGTTACTATTGTGCTATCTGGGCCGTGACCGACCTCCTATACGACTGAGATGTAATCACAACTGATTGATCACGGAGTGGTAATCACTGTCATGTGTGTCAAGTCCTTAGTGTAGATCAATCAATTGTGATCACATCTCAGTCCTACAGGAGGTCGGTCACTGCTCGGGTAGCATAATAATAACGTCTCTGACTGTGAAGCTGTTTGACACAGGATCAAATCCGTCAGTGAGCACCAGTTCCCTCAAGATCACAGATGCACCTTGCTGACGAGTGCCAAGTAGCACGAAACCCGTGTCCAGGGTTTCCTGTTGACTACTTTTAACCACCATCTAAATAAGCTTTTTTATTTGTTGTGTATTTTCCAAACCTTAATATCATGATTAAAAATCTGTCGTTTGAGGGAGAGTAAAATGATTTTAGTCCTGAACTTTATTTAACAAATTTAGCATCATTGGGGATTATCTGCAGAAAGCACCATCATTGTACTTATTAAATTCCTTTCTTTATTAATTTGATTCATTGATATCACACTTTAGCTTTACATTTCTAAATGTACTCGTAAATCGTTGTTTTAACTGTTTACAAATGACTTGATAATAAAGAATTTAATCCGTTGTTGGGTGGAGTGTGAGGAGCACTTGTGTCCTTCGTTTTAAATGTATGATTTACTTGCTAATTACCCATTTCATATTCTTCAAAACTTTAACTTGATGTCACTAACATTTTTTTATATTGAGAATCAGTTAAGTAGAATTAATTAAATAATAAAGCCTTTAATTTTTATCTATCACAAATGAAATTAACAATTACTTTATATTTGATATTTATATCGATACAAATAATAAAAATATTAACTACTCTCAGTACAGTTAACAATAATGCCGACTCAGTGGTCAAGAGGTTAGGCATTCGCTCATGAGACCGGAGGACCTCGGTTTGACTCCCGCGTGCGGGACAGTGGGTGCACACTACTTAGGAGTCTCATACTAGGACGACATGGTCGCCCAGTACTTCCATGTTTTTAGTGGTAGTATAGCTTAGATCAATTCGCGAACTCAGCTGTGATCATATATCTGATGATGTACATATTTGGATAATTAATTACTGAGTAATGGTGTTCTAACTTCGTCGTTTAAGTGAATTTCACAGAATGGATTTAGCAGTTAATTGTAATTAAACCAATTTTTGTTTTTAAAATCGTATTATTTCAGTAACATACAGTAGTAATAGAATAGACTCAAAACAAACAACTAATTGAAATGGGATTATAAGCTTTCTTTTTGAATCACTGATAATAAATAAGACAGAAGCAATACTACGTTGAAGGTCATCACAAGGTCTACGTTAAGAAATATGTATAATCTTATTTTTCTCAACAAAATTTGTCAATAAAAATAAATAAAATTCCAATCCGTTAAGAAAATATGACATCTGACAAAAATGTACGTTGATGCAAGTTGCCATTTTTCATATCGTCTATACAAAAGAAAAAGACTACTAATACGAAAGTGAAGGGAAGCTAATTAATACAATTATTAATGATAGTTAAAAAAATTAATTCGGAAAGAAACGATGGGCTGGAAAACATCGGAAATGAAGATATATGTTACATTCATTCCACAAATCGGTTATATGCGTGACATTCCCCACAAAATAGTCAATATTATACATTAATCATACGACAGACTACCCTGCAAAGTCGTGTATGGAAGACAACTGACAATCACATTCTAAGTGAAGACTGGTGTCAGGTGAGGTTGCTCACTCTCTACATTTTTCTTTCTCCTGATGATCGACTGGATTATGAAGACCTTCACATCTGAGGGAAAGCACGGAATACAATGGACAGCTCGGGATCAATTAGAAGATTTGAACTTCGCAGATGACCTAACCCTTCTATGTCATCAATAAGTCAGCCAGCCACAACGTAGGACCAGGCACATATATGCATCGGTCCAAGTTGCCGTACCTCATTAACACAACAAGATGGACACCGGATTCATAAGAGTGGTTAAGTCAGAGGTGGTAATATATAAAAGAAAGACTGCAATAAGGATATAGTACAGGAAGAAAGAATTAGTTCGTAGAAAGAAAGATATTTTAATCTCTTAGTTTAAGAGAAGATAGAGAGTGTATACACCGACGCCATTGTGATCGATTCTAAGCCATGTCACCAAGAGTCTCCAACCATTGGTTACGATAGTCACGCGAATCCCGACCAAGTAGTGTGCATCTACCAACATGGCTCAGACTATAAGTTGGTGACTTCAAGCACTGATGCCACGTTTTGGTTTGACCGCTCCTAACTTTCTTCCAACCATCTCTAACACCGGTTTGCATTGCACGTCGTGGTAATCGGTGTTCAAGCATACGTAACACTTAGCCCAACCATCTCAGTCGATGAAGATTCACAACCTCATCAACTGATTTTCCATCACTCCCTAATACCGTGTCTAACTTCACTATTACATACCTAGTGATCTTAGCAGATGCGAGCAGTATTTCTAAGGCATCTGTGGTCAATTACTAGTAGCTTAATAACATTCCTAAATGACCACGTTTTGCAGCCGTAAAGTAAAACAGAACGAACTGCTGCACAGTATACTCGTCGTTTTATTGATAGACGGATGTCTCACCTTCGCCATAGATGACGCAAGTTGGCCAAAGTCAAACGACCTTATTGAATCTGTGCTGATTTTTCAGACCCTGCTATCCAATACATATCAACAAGTGCAAGTCAAGGCAAAAAATGTAACAGCAGCCTCATAATCTCCAATACAAACATCAAAACAGTTTTACTGTATGGGGCTGAATCATCGACAACTACTACAACCATCATCAAAAATGTACAAGTACCTATAAACAATTGTCTACAGAAGATACTCCGTTGAACGGATACCATCAGCAGCAACCTACTGTGGGAGAGAACAAACCAGCTTACAGTTGAAGAGGAAATTAGGAAAAGACGCTGGAAGTAGATAAGACGCACATTGCGAAAATCATTAGACTGCATCAAGTGAGGAGCGCTGACTTGGAATCCTGAATGGGAACGGAAAGGTCAAAGAACACATTGCCTCGTGAATCGGCAGCAGACATGAAAAATATGAACAGAAACTAGAATGGACTGGAAATCATTTCCCAAGAAAAAGTTCGATGGAGAATCTCGGTAGGCGGCCTATTCTCCTCCATAAGAGGTAACAGGCGTAAGTAAATAATGTTTGAAAAACCACTGAAAAATAAGGAAAATCGAGTAGCTATTTCATCCTATTTATTAGACTTTTCAGTTGTACATATGTACAAACGCATGAGTACAAAGCTAGTGCTCACCTGTAAAATCCATATAAATATGAAACAGTGAAATCATGCTTCTATCCATATTTACAAACTAATAATTGACAGTCCCCGAATGGGGAGAGTCAGGTCTCCCACTCGAAATGCTCTCACATGGTCACGTGCATAAAACAACTGCCAGGAAAGTCCTACTCACTGTCTTCTCGCGACATTACTGTTATTTACGAAATTGAGAGGACGAAAAGCGAATGTTCTGCGCTTTAACCGGGTTGGTGGACACAGACAGTCCACCTAGAGGAATTGGAAAAATCTGATTCCAAACCAATGGTGAACATGTGTTGGAATAAAGCTGGGGAGATTGCAGTTTCTAGCAATCTGCAATCGAATGATGTTGATATCCCTACTTCTAAGTTTCCCCAATTTATGTACGGTGCATTTAAGTTGCCTATTATAAGGGTTTTACCCCTATTACACCAGGACTTAATTTTGCTTAGAAGCAAGTCATCCACTACACATTCTGGACTGCGGTATACTACAACTGATTCATTATCTTGCCGCTTACATTTTACCATGCAGCGCACTAGTTCATATGTCTCTGAGTCGTGTACCACTGTCTCGACAGCTCGTATGGTTAAAGTGCTTTTCCTGTATAGCAACTGCTAACGTTACCCATGTTTCTGAAATGTCAATCACATCAGAGTCTTCTGTGTCCACCACTGGTTTGAGCTCCGCCATTGTATTATGCAGGCTGCAAGCATTTGTATACACATTTAGTTCTGTAAATAACTTTCCCTCACCACCCAGAGTGGTTTGAGGATCGTTTCGCTCCAAACTTATACGGTGTGGAAACCCTTAAGTGTAAGCGTTTTTCACCGTTCCAGCGGCGTTCATTCATTTCTACCTCTGCTGCCCCCCAATACTCTAGTACGGCCGAGATTGGGGAGAGTCAGCTCTCCCTCCAGAAATGCTCTCACATGGTCACGTTCATAAAACCACTGAGGACGAAAAGCGAATGCCTAGAGATTTAATCAGGTTGATGGACACGAACAGTCCACCTAGAGGAATTGGAAGACCTTGATTCCAAACCAATAGTGCACATGGCCTCCAATATCCTTAGAAAACAAATGGCGTATGAACCAACTGTTGGTCACCGATTATCATGGGACTGCATCTCCTAACGTTACTCCACTACCATGTAGATCAGACGTTTTAGGTCAAAGGCTCAGGGTGTAGCCACCTAAGAAAACCATCTGCTTCAGTTTGAGCACCCATGCAGTATTTCAGCTCTCACACAAATCAAATGATATATGTGGCATATATCTTTATTTGGTGCGTTCTTGTAATAAATAATTTACAACTCAACTTACCCTTTTTTAATTACATGGTTTTTGATTTTGTTAAAATCATAAATATTATTATTTTTCTTTCTTTCTTACATTTAAATTACAGTTTAGTCAATCAGAATAATTTAATACAATATGAACAATTTATTAATCAATTGAATTGGAAAAATTATGAAATTAAAGAATTATCTATTCAACCATCATTGGATTATATTGGAAATATGAATATTGATTGGTTACCAATAAGTAAAGGTGATATGCCAAAATCAATTAATTTAAGTAAAAAATCAAAAATCGATAAAATCAATTATAAACAATTGATTAATGATTTATTTATGAAAGATTTATTTCATTCATCAATTGATTAATTAATTAGTTTAATAAAATAATTAATTATTATTTTTCCTTTATATACAAAATCTGTATACGAAATAAACTATATATATATTCATTTTAGATACAAAATTGCCTAGTAATTGTTAGTCAATTGAAGGAATGAAAAGACAACAAATGATCTATCTGTTATGTTAATAAGAATGTTGAGGCAATATAAAAAACAACATATAGATAGATAAGTAATATGCTTTACAAAGGTGATCAATAATGGATATGTAAAATATCTAAATAAAATCATTAAACAAAGAAAGAGTAATAAAGTTTGGGGAATAAAATGAATTCATTCTATTTCATAGTTTCTTATCAGTTGCATACAACCTAAACTTGTAATTATTAATATCGTGAGTCAATTGAAGCTAGACCACCATGAAAAACCTGGAAGCACTGGATGGCCGTTTCATCCTACTGTATGTTAGTTGAAGTTAGACGTGAACACGGTTGGATGACGACTGACTCAGTGGTCTAGAGATTAAGCGCTTTCGTGTGAAACCGATAGGTCCTGGGTTCCAATCTCGCGAGGCAAGATCGTGAGTATGCACTGCTGAGGAGTCCAACAAAAAGACGAAACGGCCATCCAGTGTTTACAGGTTTTCCATGGTGGTCTAGTTTCAATTGACTCGTGATCTCAACTATTAAAATAAATATAATTATCACAATTGACTGATCACTGGGTGGTGATCACTGTCATGTGTGTCAAGTCCTTATTAGTGCAGATCGAATGCTATCGACCAAGTTGCAACGTGGCCACTAGTCTAGGTGACTCGACACTGCATGCATTATTGTGAGATTAGATGGTGGTTGGAGGTAGTCAACAGGAAACGCTAGACTAGTGGCCACATTGCAACTTGTTCGACAGCACTCGATCTGCATTAGGAAGGACTTGACACACATGACATTGATCACCACCCAGTGATCGATCAGTTGTGATTACATCTCAGTCCTACAGGAGGTCGGTCACGGTCCTGATAGCATAGTGGTAACGTCTCTGACCGTGAAGCTGGATGACACGTGAGCGAATCCGTCAGTGAGCATCAATCCCCTCAAGATTACAGGCACATGTTGCTGACGAGTGCCAAGTAGCACGAAACCCGGGTGCAGGGTTTCCTATCAACTACCTCCAACCACCATATAATCTAAATATAATTATTAACAAATGTTTAGCAAACTTTGGTTTTCTAACATCAACTTCATCGGTCATTTAAGTAAGTTTGTGAAGTTTAGATAACTGTTCGAAACGCAATCAAGATCATAATATTCAGAAGAATAAATACACAAATTATATGAACAAACAGAATGAAGATTGATTTGTGTTTATTATTTAGGGAAGTAATAATTCAGAGATTAGATGAAAATAATGAAATTAATGGAAAAATAAACAAATATATAAACATAAATCATATTATGTAAAAGATGAATATCAGAAAAATAAAAGCAAAAGGTTTGGAACAGGGTTGAATGAAGACTAAAATTAACGAAGGCTATTTAGACAAATATACAATCATCATAACAGGGAAAGATTAATCAAGCTTTCCTTTCGCATACATAGGTCAGGTCGGGAAGGTTTGGTAGCGATCGCCTCTGCAAAACGGAGTAAAATTGGTGTTTTTTGTCTGTTGGTTATTTTGAACACATCAACAGAAAAGCTTCTTTTCAGTTAAATCTAAAGATTATAGGACAGCCCTCTTGTGCATATCTGAGAATCCTCAATAGTTTACATGACTAACTGGTGTTCTGACCAATATCTGAAGATTGTTCAAACTAAATTATAATTAACATACCACTACTCTCGGTATATGCTGTGAAAGTTGAATTAAGTGTTTATTTCAGGCATAGAGGATAGAAATACATTGACGTTTAATGGAGAGAAACACTACTTTTGCCAATTTTCTCTTTTAAAATTATTCAACATCATTTACTGTAACCCATTTAACAAAAAAAAGTTAACATGGTCGGTTTTCAATGACATGGTTTGTGTGAAAGATAATGATACTATACGTTTACCCAGCGATTTCCCTGTAAAAAACCGAATGAATTAAACATTAGAACAGTGCTCCGAAAACCCATAAACTTATATTCATAAATACTGAAAGCATAAGACACCTACCATCATAAACTGAGAACCACTGAAAGAGGATTAAACGGGAGTCCACTTTCATGTCGTAACCAAGGTTTGAACTGATAAATTCATAAAGAATATAAACGTTGTTTAAATACTGATGATGATATATTTGTAATATCTCAATGATTAGAGAAAAAGATCCAATTTCTGACGTTTCACAACTTAGTGTAAGCCGTTTATTCAGTTAATAAATTAACAAGTTCAAATGGACAAATTCATTATTAAGTACAAACAAAACCTACCTCATCCCAACGTTTGTCCATTCAAGTTAAAGGGATTCCTTGTGAGATATAATTATGTGTATGTGAGCGGCTATGAAACATGTGCCATTTATCATGTGAAAAAGTAGAGCAAATTTAAAGGCAGTTATAGTAAAAGATTTGAACAGGTTAGGAGTTCCCTTCCATTTTGGAAGCGTCATAAAAGCCATACAGGATCAAAACATTAAAGCAGTTTATTATTGAACATTTGGATCAAATTTTTTTAAAGTATATAACTACAAAAAAACGAAAACTTCAATTTTATTTTAACTTTTGTAAATTAAAACAGGGATCCAATCACAAGTAATGTCTACCCAAAAATCCAAGTTATTTCTGACAGATGTAGTTTGACACGGATTCATTTTGTTTAATTCAATTATGCATTCGGTTAACTTTAGTATACCTCATGATATGGATCGATCAATTTCTATTTACAACCAGATTAACGCTATGATAATTCAATGGCATAAAAAAATCAATTATTTAACTGTGAAAATTAGTGGCATTTACTTTGTAGTCTTGTAAATATAATAAACAAATCTGCCCATGTTCATTCGTACTGATATTGAAGATGCGTAAGTAGTACAACCAGAGATTGAAAAAATCACCCACATGTTGATTATCAAATGATATTTTAACTGATACTAGTTAGTATAGTAGATCATTCAACAATTATGTATTGATAAAATGATTACCTAATTTATCGGAGATTGAGTTGCAGTTTTGAGGAGATTGGTTTAATTTATAGGTTATATCGATGGAACTCAGAGTATCACTGACTACAAAGTAAACCAATCTCTATAAAACACGTTTAAGCAAGCTCATAAGTGACTACAATATGTCCCTGAAGCTCTAGTAAGGACTCACAACTGTTAGAGTTCAGACATGTAGGAAGTGGAAATTGCTACCAGTGATATTGGATGATTGTCATGATATATTTCAAGTTGATTGAAGCTGCAATTGCACCACCGCACTCCAATTCATTGTTTATAACGACTGAGTTCCATGCGAGATCTGGTGAAGGTTCAATCCCTGAATGGGTCGTGAGTGAGCACCGCTGTAGTATGAAACAACTGTCCAATGCGTCCTAGTTTTCAGTGATACTCATATTGAGATTAATTCATGACGAATACAAACTACAAATTACCCCAAAACTTTCGTTGAATAGAATAACCGGTAATTACATGACAAGATAAACAGGGGTAGTGAAAACAATTTGAAGATGATAAGTGAACAGACACTGAAGATGAATAACAAGGATTTATCGTGTATTTTTTATATTGGCAACAGTGAGTAATTCATATTTCCCGTCGGAAATTACTGAGAACTGTAATAAAAGCAAATATAAGAAACAAAACTACGTATGTGTACACACACACATTTCAATGACAAAAAAAGACCAGTTAAGGCAAAATATAAACAAAAACAAGCAAAAATAAAACAGTAAAATTGCAAGGGTAAAGTCGAGCAGTGGGGATAAGGGATTAAATGCTTAATGACTGAATGAGTTGATAAAACATGAAATGGGATCGCAAACCCAATAAGTAAAATTACTTTTTTGCAATGGATTAAATTGAGTATATGGATGAATGGGTGAATGTAGTGTTATATACTTTTTGAATAAAAGTCAGTTCGAAGATAAACAGACAAATTTCTATAGAAAAAAAAACAGGAAAACAATAAATAAGGAAATATTAGGATATATATATGAATTGTATAAACTAGTATAAACGAAGTTCCTTTGAATACTGATGATAATGTTCCTTGATACGAATTACAGGATTCCTGATCTTCTATGTACTCCATTTTTTCTCTCACGACAAAATTTCCTCCCAACTTTTAGTCCACTATGTGAGGATGGAGATAGACTGCCGGAAGGTGGAGGAGCACCACGTGTTTGATGTTTACGTCCTCCTCTGTGACGACGTTCCTTACACATTTGACCTATGAAAAAAAAGCCAGAAACTGAAAATACAACCGAAATGTATAGAATATTCTAATACAAATAATCGAAAACTAATGTAGTCGTCTTCTCATAACTTATTTACTTACTTACGCCTGTTACTCCCAATGGAGATTAGGTCGCCGACCAGCATTCTCCAACCCACTCTGTCCTGGGCCTTCTTTTCTAGTTCATAACTTATTTACCAAGTAAAAATTCGTGAACCCCCGGTTTTGAGCCATTTTTCCGATTTGAAGGTAAGTGATGCTACCAGTTTCGGAATTTAAAGTAGAAGGAAGTGAGATTCAATCCAGTGGTTGGACATTAAGTACCATTAACTACAAAGTGTCATTGATTCATAATCTCTCGGTGTCAAGTGTATGTAACACTTAAAGTTTGAGATGGGAAAGATGCTTCAATTATGATACTAAGATATAAACTATCAGTTTACTGAAGGAAACAAAACTTAGTGAACAGATAGAAGAAATTTCTTTTCAATTAGTTTTTCATCATGACTACAAATATATATATGATTTACATCAACGAAATAATACTCAGCAAGTGGTTACGTAATATAATGATTACACAATGTATCGATTACAAGATATATTGAGTAATTGGAAGAAAGAGGATTATAACAATCAAATTGTTCGAAAAATCAAACAATTGCTACATTGCACGCGGGACAGGAGGTCTTGGGTTCGAGTCCAGCGTGCTTCCAGGTTTTCCATGGTGATCTAGCTTAAATGGATTTAAGAATTCAACTATTAGATTACTACAACCTTCATAAACACTCATTCTGGTAATACAAAAAGAATTAAGAGAATACTCTGAAAGGTCAGCATTATAGTATTATAGCAAGAATCAAAATATGGATGTAAAAATACAAAAGCGGAAGAAATTAGAAAATCGTTTGAATAATTCTGAAAAGGATTTAGTAAAAATTCAACTAAAAGCTCACTATCACACTCATTGCCGAGAGAGTGGTTGTAAAAACGTCTTTTGGATGCACAGGTTACGTTTGTGAACACGAATTCCGATAGCTTCCGCAATATGGAACAGACAAATTCGTTAACCATGTGGTGGATGCGATGGAATATGGTGGACAACCTTAAAAGTCTTATTCAAGTCAATCTGATATCCTGTATCCGCCAAATGAGCGAGAACAGAACTCTTAATGACTCTTACATGTCCTGCTGCCAAATGAAAAGATTTAATCCTCGGGTGAACAATGAATGTGCATTTTTAATTTAACAACCAATTTTAAAGACAGCTTAATGGTCTTATTATGTAACCACTACTAAGACCACTCCATGGAGATATATTCTTGATGAAATTACAAAACGATCCAACTACAGAAACCAATCGACTAGCATTTATTCTCGCTACACAGAACACATTTGTTTAAACTAGTGGCTGATACTTCAGTTTGATCGAAACTGAAGACTAGATAAATATAATAAAAGTTAATGATCTAAGAAAATATATCAGTCCTATAAGAAATCAGTCACAGCCAGAATACTTTAAGGGTAATGTCTTTGATTGTTAAATTGGGTGGTGAGTTGTGTCGAGTAACAGGAGTATCATTTCGTTTTAAAATGACAATATGCCTTTTTAACAACCTGATCAACTAATTAATTTAAAGAATTAATACTTAAAAAGTACAAACTTGCCTTCAGGACAATCACCATCACCACTGCATCGCGTACGCTAAAAGCAAACAGAAACAATGCAAAGACTAAACATTAGTTTTGAACAATATTTAATTAAAGACACTGAATTTGAAATTTTCTGAATGGAGAACATCCGTAAAGAGAAACCATATTAGCATACTTCTAATTAATATCACTTATAATGGTGTTCAGAATAAATGAAGACTGTCGTATAATGGACGCTGAAATAAGTTATTACGTAATATGATTGGATAGACAACTTTTCATTTTTAAGGAATAACATAAAAGTAAACAAAGGTGAATATTATATATTGTCAAGCTATTTTAAAAATACACGCATGAAATCCAGTCTACGTTTATGAACACAGTTCAAAATCCTATTCAGTCAATCAGCCAATATGCGACTTCGCACATTTTATTTTTATTTTATTTGAACATATAGATACAAGGAGGCACACATGCGCCACACAAATCTCATTTGATTTGTGTGAGGGCTGCGACACTGCCCGGGTGCCTAAACTGAAGCAGGTGGTTATCTTAGAGGGCCACACTCAGAGCCTTCGACCACAAGGTCTAATCAACAAGGCAGTGGAGCATCGTAGAGGGATGCAGTCCAATGGTAGCCAGTGACCAACAATTGGTTCATACGCCATTTGTTCCCTCAGCATACTAGAGTCCATGTGCACCATTGGTTTGGAATCAGGGTTTTCCAACTCCTCTAGGTGGACTATCCGTGTCCACCAACCTGATTAAATCGCCAGGCATTCGCTTTTCGTCCTCTCAATTTCGTAAACAACAGTAATGCCGTGAGAAGACAATCAGTAAGACTTTCTTGGCAGAGGCTATATATGTGTGGTTATGTGAGAGCATTTCGAGAGGGAGAGCTGACTCTCCCCATTCTCGGCCGTACCAGGGCATTTAGGGGCAGGACTCGGCACAAAGGTGTATCGGCTAAAAATGTCAGTTGAGTTTGCATCAACACAACAAGAGAAGAATTAAGATGAAAAGGAAAACAAATAAGGGCCAAACACCAATCACATTAGGAAATTAAACAATGAAAAGACAATTCGGAAAGAGCGAATAAAATCGAGAAATAGGATGTACAATACAACGATTAAGAACAGATCAAAAATCAATACCTCTGTGCCACTATGAATAATTTCAAAGACGAAGGTGTTCAATGACAGATTATCGGGTGGACCCTAAGCAACTTGTTATTTAATTTTCAACGATAGTAAAGTACAGTTAACTGATGAAGTAATTTTTACCTACACATAACGCTTACATGTTTTTTTCCACGTCTATTTGGCCGTTTCCAATTAGCACCACCTGAAATAGCGATGAACAATAAACAAAATGGAATACAAAACTATTATTATTACCATTAATGGTGAGATTTTTTATAAAACTATCAAATTTCAAACTTTATGCAGAATGCAACAACTAGAATAATTGGAAATTACTAGGAGAATTTTATCTCTAATAACTGTTGACACTTCTCTACATAATACGCATTATCCAAATTCAATTGGTATTTCTCTGTAGAAAATCTTATTTATTTGTTTTAACACATAGATATTGGTACAAGGAGGCACAAAATACATATGCGCCACACAAATCTCATTCGATATGTATGAGGGCTGTGATACTGCTCGGGTACCCAAACCGAAGCAGGTGTAGAAAATCTATCTAATTATTGTTTATCCGATTCCATTAACACGTTGAAACAATTTTTTTCTTACAAAAACGCCCAAAACATTTTCTACTATGCTGTTATATTGTGATTATCTTTTGTGAAAGATTTTTGGAGGTGGAACTGTAAATGATATTCATCCCGTAAATTCATGTATTTACATTTTAATATCAACGAGGAAATCTGGATGAAAAGGAAACTATGACGATTAGGGGGGATTTCGTTCAATAGATCGGAAAATTCAAGAAAGCCCAAATGATGTTATTAAATAATTCATTAGATGTGCTATTTTCATGACCATACTGAATAAAATTAATCCTATATATTTTTCACATAAAATCAAACTTATGTGGAACTACATAACTATGATTCCTTATAGTATTACTGGTCTGTGTGCACTTAAAGACAGTGCATAGAGGGAAACCACGATTCTGAACGTGATGCAAAATGAGTTCTTTGACAGGTTGCCAACGTTAAACTGTGGTTTTGCCCTGTCTATCGTAAGAACACTGATACGCTTAACAACGTGGGTAAACCTACTGAAGTAAATTAATATTAAAATTCTTAGTAGTCATAATCCAAAAACAGTGATTATCTTAATTGGCTGGTTCACCAATTTCTATTGAAGCTGTTTGATTATTTTATTTCCAATTAGTTTCCTACAGATATGCTCTTATGAATAACAACTTGACTTGACTTTTACGGAGTTGGTACTTTTCTCGAAGATTATTAAACTGCCTTAAAATAGTATCCAGACGGCATAGGTTTGTTTGGTCAAAAGTCGGGTAAAAGTCTTCGGCGTATTTTGAGTGACAGTGTTTCTTGGAAAAAGACTAAATTCATTCAGGAGTCATCTGTAAACATGACTTGTTTAATTATAGAATGAGTCTAATACCTGATAGATCAGTGAAATCGTAAGAAGTATACAAAAAGGTATCATCTATATAACGAAATATAATTTTATGATTACAACATATCCCATGCCTTTTATACAGTAATTATTGAGAGAACTTCGAGAGGCCTTATATATATATATATATATATATATATATATATATATATATATATATATATATATATATATATGGAATTACTTTGAATAGGTTGGTAAACTGATGATTATCCAACTAGAAAAAGTTTAATTTAAATAAATCTGTCCATAAAATAGACTTAGTTATAGGCATCTAAAAAAATACTAGTCGGTAATTTACCTTCAGGACATTGGCCTGGTTGTTCACAATTTCGGTTCTGCGAGGAAACATAAAAATGTAGAAATAATATAATGTATAAACAATTTTAAATAGATAATTGATAAAACAGTACTTTCTAAGGTGGTTTTTATATGGAGTTTGCACTATTTGAAAGGTATTTTTAGTATGAACTATGATCAATTGTAAAACCATTGAACACCAGATAACACTAACTAACTGATATTATGCTGAAACGGAAATCATTAACGACGAGGACGGTCTCGACAACATACATCAGATTGAGCTTATGACAGATATTACACGGAGCACGAAACTACTCAAACAACTGAGTCAGAATTTAACTGCTCATATTTTTAACTTCAGTCAATATGTGCTGCAGTAGGATTTTCAACTAACATTACTGATGAGTTGTTGAATTACGTTTGGTGTGGTTAACTACGTATACTATGAAATCCAGCTAAAACTTCGAAAAATCCATTTTGAAGAAAACTGACAGCGAGCTGAGAAGAATCTTTTAACAAATATGATAGTCATACCAGCAAAAGTTGAAGACAGTTTCATTAACTTGTCTTTGGTATATAGTGTTGAATGTGGACAACTGCAATTCAGAATAAAATATTGTAATAATTTAAATCTGGGTCATATTTAAAGGAAAGTAGTTTTTCGTAACAAAACGGAAAACAATAACTTCTAACAATCACAAATAAGGATAAGATAAACAACTACATTATTGTTGAAAAAATACTAGGAATATTAGTTGGTTAATGAAACTATGACCTGCTATTGTGTATCGGGGTTTAAGTTGTTGCGACTCACAATAGCACAGAGCGAGAGGAAAAAAATCAACAGGATAAAAAACATAAGAGATTCGAAATAGGGCCGTGTGTCGCCAAGTAGAACCTGATATGTGTGTACATCGGTTCAAGCTTCCCCATTCCATTAGCACAACGAGATGAAACTGTTAGGGTGAATTTCAGAGTAGCAGACATAGTAATAGTTTCAGAGGTAATAGAAAAATTATCCACCGAGGATGCAAATTAAAAAATATAAATAAGGGAAATTTTTAAAAAAATATGAGAAATTCAGATGCTTAGAATTTGGAGGAAGACGAAGAATGGATGCAACTATGCCATTGCAAACGAATATATTTGGGAAAATGTGACGACGATCAAGTAATGAAACCTATGAAATAAACGCAATATTTGGCAAACGAATGAAAAGCAGAAACAGTAAAAGTATTACAACGGGAAAATCAATAACAGAGAGGGGGAAATAGTCACGATAATTAACGTTCAGAAATCTGTCCCAAAATGCTTTGAATATGGGATAGAAATACAAAAGATAAGAATAACATAAACCATTTTCGGTGAGTGTTTCTTTCAGTCGCCACTCGCACATACATTTTTGAAATACTGTAGGGAAAAACTAAGCTCATATTTTTAAAAATGTAATCTGTGTGATATAGAATAATGTTTGAGAAAGGTCGAGCTTTAGGAACTATTCTACACAGAATAACTGTTAATATTTCTATTGTATAGTTAATATGTGCTTGGAATATGTTTATTATATTCCCCTACATGAAAGCCTCGGTTTGATCCAAGAACCGTTATTTCACTCGTCATTCCAAATCTAGAATGACGAGCCCCCAATGCCCTGGTACGGCCGAGAATGGGGAGAGTCAGCTCTCCCTCTCGAAATGCTCTCACATAACCACGCATATATAGCCTCTGCCAAGAAAGTCTTACTGATTGTCTTCTCACGGCATTACTGTTGTTTACGAAATTGAGAGGACGAAAAGCGAATGCCTGGCGATTTAATCAGGTTGGTGGACACGGATAGTCCACCTAGAGGAGTTGGAAAACCCTGATTCCAAACCAATGGTGCACATGGACTCTAGTATGCTGAGGGAACAAATGGCGTATGAACCAATTGTTGGTCACTGGCTACCATTGGACTGCATCCCTCTACGATGCTCCACTGCCTTGTTGATTAGACCTTGTGGTCGAAGGCTCTGAGTGTGGACACCTAAGAAAACTACCTGAAAGGTATCTGCTTGCTATCTTTGTCTACTAGTCGGGAACAGCTCGCGAGACAACAAGCATTAAAATTCTCCAGACATTAGATACAGTTGCTGAGTCACTGGTTAGGAGAAGGTAGTAGTTTTATTGGGTAGAGAGACCACCAGTCTTATAGAAAATATAGGCGAATAAGTCAATAATCGGACTAGATAAAATAAATCCTTCCATAATAAGTGGGCATTCACACAACATCTAATACAATTTAAGAATTTTCCCTTTCTGAAGATACAACAATCCCTCGCAGTTAGAACGACTTAATCTCCTAGCAATTTCGATAAGACAATACCGTCAATTTACCCGTTTGTGAATCACCAATCACAACACAGAAATAACTCACACACCAAGTACCTCTGTGCATATAGTTTCGAGGTAATGCTTTCAGTGTAAGGACTAGCAATACTAGCTAGTTTTTTAAAGCTTAAGATATTTTTGACTAGTCAATGTTCATTACACAAAAGTAAGTAAATCAACAATCCCTGCATATATAAACTATACAGTGAGTGAAAAGAATTAGTTAGAAACACCCATAATTGAGCCTCAACAGCTGAACAGAAAAGCGTTATTGGAGTATGATGAAACGAATGGTACAGGAAAATGTTAAACAAATTCGACTTGAAACTCACATGCTTTCTGCGACGCCTACGTGACCGTCTTTCACCAGGTAATGAATCATCTATCGGTTAATCAACAGGATAAAATTTAACATTAGTTAGTGTTAAAATATAATAATATGGTGGAATTAACTAGCCAAGTAGATGGTTATGAATCCGATTAGTGATATTATCGAAGCAGGTGAAGTAGGATTCAAATCAACAGCTTATCATTTACAAGTGTTTTAACCAACAAGCCACATATTTACGGTCAATTAGTGTGTGTAGCGTGAAATCACAACATCAAAGACAAACAAACAGCAAAATTCACACAAAGCTTATACCGAAAAAAAGTGAGTAGTATATCGAACAGCAATTTAAAAGAAAGAAAGAAATTGCAAAAAACGACAAAACAAAATGTGGAAAACAAATTAGCTCACCCCAACTGCAAATAAAATTACCTATAAAATACTGATAATCCCCTAAAGCGTTTCGCCTTAACTACGTAGAAAAAAAAAAGTTTTTACCCCGTTTGTAGATGGAAACTTTGCGGTTGGGAGTGTTAGACTCTTAATGACACAGCCTTTTACGCAATCATTAAGTCTTTGTTCGCATCTACAACTTGGCAGAATTACTGCAAAGCCAGAAGCATGAAAAGCCATTTTATAATCACCACTGCATACCAACTACTAGACATCAGCATGACATTCAGTACCAACTCTAATGAATGAATAGTAGATAGTTTATTTTTGCCAGAAGGTGCACAAAATTCACTGAGAAATCCATTTGTTTGACAGAAAATAATCAACTTACTTCATGAATGAAATAAATAAATAAATGCTAGACAGTAAGGAAAATAGTACGTGAATGAAACAATAACTGGCCTATGGAAATAATTTTCTAAGCTTCTTAATAATTTATAATGAAATATATTTATAAAATAATGAATCAGAACAAAGATTTAAATGATTAACTTGAGGATTAGGAGATTGATTTTCTAATAAATGCGATAAACTAACTGCTATCAAATTTCATCTGGGTACTGAACAGTAACTTTTGTAGGCAAAAAACAGGACACTGATTCCCACATTTCTCAACTACAAACATTGAGAATTTGTTAAAGTCTTGCTACAAGGCTACTTTTTACAGATACATTTTTTTACTTCCTTTTTATTCGATGGTACTTACTATCAGACGGCACTAAAAGTCTTAAGTGCTAATCAATGGTTTATTTAAATAACTGAAATTCCACTCGGTATTGTTTTTTTTTTCAAATGATAATGCTTAAACTTAATATCAACCGAATTGTAGTTCTGTTTTGACTACGAAACATTGGCATGGAACCGAAAATGCATTTAACATGATAGTTTGACAGTGATCATAAATGGTGTTCAGCTCGTATGGGTAGCTTACTAAATGGTTTCAGCGAAATCAGTCCTAAGTATAACACTGACTGTATTCTGCAACCTAAATAATCAATGTGCTAAAATTAACCATGCCCCAACTAACTGTTCTACCGAAACAAAAGAAACTATCCTCATGGATTATCAACATATGTTTAATTTGGAAGCTCAAAACGCAAAAACAGATTATTCCAAATCACATAGTATTTCCCAGCATATGTTTGATTAGGCCTTTTTATAGTTTAATGATTTCAACCCTATGTAACCCAGACTGCTTTGATGATGTGACGTAGTTAACAAAAAGTAACTGAAAAACTAGAGCTGTTATATAAAAATAGCCTACTTTTATCAGATCCAAGCCTGTCACCAGACCGGCGTCCTCGAAAATGTGATCTGTTATCTTCTATCAGTTGACTGTCAAAGCTAAAGAGATTAAAGGATAATGAATTAAACGTCAAAAATAGCCAAAACAAATTAACTTTGGTTCCTTTGTTTAAGACAATCGACTCGGTAGACTATCTCAATTATATTTAGAATTCTACGCACCGCCCCCTAAATGCCCTGGTACGGCTGAGGGTGGGGAACACTCTCCCTCTTCAAATCATCGTATGGCCACCGGTATACAGTCACTGTCAGTGAAACCCTACTCGTTACCTAGCGGTGGGGGTGTTGTTCACGAAATTAAAAGAAAGAAAAATGAATGACCGGAGCTTAAACCGGGTTAATGAGTATATAGGATCTACCTTGAGAAGTTGGATAAACCTTATCCGAAACCATTGGTCCATATGCGTCCCAGGATCCTGAGGGAACATATAGGATATGTACCTAATCTTGGTCACCAGTTACCATAGGACCGCTTCTCTTAACGTTGCTGTCGTAGTGTCGGTTACTATGCAAACCCACATGGCTTATTCTAGCCTCTGGACAGATTAGTCTATTCATTATTTTCTAGGCACATTTTACCGTCACTTATTCACTTACCAACCTTGACTGGTTCTATGTAAGCGTATGTGTGTGTATTTCTTATATTAGTCATTACGTCTGGCTCACCACATTAATGGCTCAATATCTGACCTCAGTTATATCGTTTGCTGCTCGCTATCGAAATATACATATCGCCAATACTCAAATATAATCATCGGCTTAGATCGCGATGGTGAATAATGAAATTAAATAAATACGAGAATGGATTTTTGAATACGTACAATCGTTGATCTGAAAGCGAAGCAAAACGAAGTGATGTAAAATGTGATCGATAAACGAACTCACCAATGACACAGTGAAACGCCCACCAGCACATTAACTTTTATCGACCTTGTATGACTATATCTTGTTTATTTACCAATCACAATTTTATGTTCATTATAAAACAATATTTGCCTTGTTGACTCATTTTTCCTATCCTCTAGTTACTGTTCGGTATGTTACTTATGTATCTGGCTCACTCGGTGTGCATAGCAACGGACAGTATACTCTACTACCTTGTAGATTAGACCTACAGGTCAACGTCGCGGAGAATAGAGGCCCTCTAAGAAGACCACCTCTGGTTTGGAGATCCGGGTAGTATCCTAACCCACGCAAATTCAATGGTTTGAGTGGCCCATACATATGTTAGTATCCTTTTGTACCAATATTTGTGCCTAAAATATATATAAGTAATCCTGCACAACAGTGAATAACGTTGATCGGTATGTCATTCATTTTACTGACACCAGGTATCTAGATCCTAGTAACGCAGACAAGTTGGGGAAGTTTACAGCAAGAGATGATCGTGTATTTTGGTCATCAAGTTCTGCCTCCCGAAAAGAACACTTCTCTGCTATCCTCAAGAAGTAACTTACATAAGTCGAAAAATCAAAACGGAACGCATGCAACCCTGGTTCCTATTAATAGGCGCTCCAAAGTCTTGAATCCATTCTTATCACTTCAGAGTATGATTAAAATACTTCCAACGACTATCTACACTTCCCAGTGGACAGAGTCAACCTGGAACTTAAGTGTAACAACTACGAAACTAGTTATGATCCATCTACTAACATTAGTGTGCTTAGTGTAAAGATTTTGTTGACAAATCTATTAGGCCAAAGAATGATCAAAATGTAGACATGCTTCACAATAAGCTGTTGTCTTGTAAAAACTAACGATGGAAAAATTCTAATAGAAAGTGACACGTAATTATAAAGTTTTAGTAGTACAAGTAAGAACGTAATTCTTGGATGCGCCGGAACTGGTACTAGAATATAAGTTAGTCAAGGATAGACTTGATATGAATGTAAATTCATTCGAATTATCATGGCTTAATTCAGCAGAGGAAATATCCTGAAATATGACCTATACAAATGTGATACATAATTCCCATTGTGTGAAACACTACAAGCTAATGAGATCTATTTGATAGGATTGGTAGACACGTCCATAACTCGGATAGACAGAACTCCAGTCAGCAATACCATCTCTCCAGAATTTGTTTGTAGCCTTTTCAAACATATTGGCTAATTAGTAACAGTTCCTTAAAAGTCAACATAAAATCAACTAGATACACTAATATGACTAACTATATAAAGTATGTCTTAATAATAAAGGTAAAGTGGTTTTATTAACAGAAAAACGGCATTCAAAAATCGTAAATTTAGCTTACGAATCATTTTCTTCAAGCTCGTGTTTTTGTATCGATGTAGGCACCGATGAAACCAAGATCACTATGCATAACAAAACCAAAGGGGCCTGAAGCCAAAGACCCATTCTGAAATGAAATAACTTTCCGTTAACCCATGAAAAGTAAGTAGTTGGGATATTGTCGAATGACTTGACCAAGTATATGAGTCGAAGAATGTGCATTCTACTTTGCCAGGTTAGTGTGAAAAGTCACTAAACAAATTACTCAACTAACAGGCAACCCAACCAGACCGAAACCGTAAAGTAAATAAAATGCTAAAAGGTTACACGGTCATGACGCATACATAGGACTAGTTATCAAGAACATTGTACAACTTTCATTCAGATAAACAAAGGTCAACTTTACATTCCTCAAAGAAATTTCGAGGTAACAACAAAAGATGATGACGAACACCTAGTATTATTACCGACTTTAACTAAGTGCTTCTAATGAAATCTCAAGTAGATTTCTACACACATTCTAAGTTTGAAAAAGTTCATAAGGGAGCTAGGGGGAGTTGGTCTACGAAAACTACTAAGTTGTACTAATCAGAAACATTTTATAGTTGACCCAAATTGAAATGTATATTTCATTTTAACGTATTCCATAAACTTGCAACATACTAAGCACCATTCCATGCATTTAAGCTAATGGAAATGCCTACTTATCCCAGAGGCTTCTCAAACTAGTGTTTTGAAAACCTTATTTGTAGTATAACATGTTTAATTTGCTGACTAACAATCCGTAAAGAAAATTCAGTTTAGAACACTGACCAGTAGTTTGCAGAAGAATAGCAAGACTTAGATCATGATTTTTAATCGATGTAAACTTTGTTTCTGGAATCATATAACCGGCACTTTCAAATAAAAGATTTACTGTAATGTTTAATGTACCTTGACTCAACATGAAAGTCCTGATCACATAAACAGATCGTTAATCCATGTAAGTTTTTCTAATTTAAGAATTCTTTTTACAAATAATGGTTGAGTTACAATTAGGCCTAGAAAACACAATCAGTTCATAACGAATTCCCATCAATAACCAGCTATCACCCTACAGGACAATCAGTCACCTCCACACCGCAGCTCCAACCCTCAAAAACCGTCACACTCAATGATGAATAAAGTCCATGGAGTACACTATTTCTACTTTACGACTCCAGACTTGATTTCACTAACAACACGCATATTCGAAAATGAAAACAAATGATAATTACTACCTTAATGAATGCGGCGACTAATAAATAGGAAAATAGAAATCCACACTTGATGACATTCAAAGAATCCAAAGTTCGTTCAGCCTGTTAAAACATACGGTATGTGTCACTATGAATCAGGATCGGTGTCATTATAATTCTGATTGGTCTTTCAAACAATCGATTGTCTAACTTGTACAATGGCCAATCAACAGTCAGTGAGCGATAAACTGACACATATTCCCATTTCATGAATGTTGTTTGCTATTCTATAGGAAAGAGTCCAAGGGGTTTGGCCCAGTACGAACGTGTGTTTAGTGAACATGTATGCAAAAAGATGTTCTGAGGTCTGACTTTTAATGACGTGAACGTGTGATAGGCTAACGGCTTCGCAAAATCCATGTTAGTGCTGCTACCGAAGCCATTGGTAGTGTACCTAGAAGAGCTCTCAAACACCATGTAGGTGATTGAGCTTCTGAGAAATTTTGGTTAGACTTCTGGTATGACTATGCCTTTGAGCGAACATCACTTTTCCCAGTGCGATCATCAAGCTCTAATATACATGAATATTTATAGGAAAATACTAAACCAATCATTAAGATGTGTGATGACGATCTAATTGGAAACAATATTGTTCGCTTATTTTCACTATGAGAATCTCTAATACTTTAACGTTTCTGTCAATTTCCCCAAATATTCATGTTTCACTGGTAGTACTTTTGACTTCGTCTGCAGCAAAAAACTGTCAACATTCAACCAGGTCTCTTAATTCAACAATATGATGAGTAGTATATCAGCAGCTTATGCGCGTTTAGAAATGTAGCGGAGATATCTCAGTTTCTAGATTCAGTACTCATGATTTATCCAGCTTTCAACCTCATTATTTCCTTGAAAAAACAGATCAGATGACCAGTTGGAATTATTTAAATTTTTGTCTGAGATTATCCCGAATTTAGTTTTTATATTTAATTAGTTGCGCTCCTACTTCGGATTAGTATTCCTTCAATTGTTTATTCGGTTTCACGCAAATGAATTGATTCCTTTGACATTTTAGTCAATTCCTATGAAGTGTTATCTTACGTTGCATAATCATATAACCTTGTTGGAAATCCGAAATTTACTCTGTCCATCACAACAGTATTAATTCCCTTAGTCAAATATATAATTTAGCGTTAGGAATTCAGTGTGTTATCACTGCTATGCATCTATTAAAATATTTCTCAACTATGGGATCTTCGCTAACCTTGTATTGTCTCACTATATTCAGATTTGAACATTCAACATAACTCCTGATAGATTTATATTATTTCTTTTGTTCCTTTCAGTTTTTTATTTGAAATCTCCTTGCACGGTACAATGTCTTTTTTATCTGTTTGTCTCCTTACTTAGCAGTCTGACGAACGGCAGTGTGCGAGTGCTCAAGTTTTTGGAAAATATTCTAGGTTAGTCCGTCTTTGGAGTCAGGTCTAGTGAACAGAATCCTTAATAACCTTGAACAATTGCAACGCAGACACCAGGGAATCCTATTTAGCTGGTAAAAACGTACGGTCGTACTTGAAATGGTATGCCAAACTCTCACTAGTGTCGGGTAGAAACAAGTGTCTACCTCAATACAGTGGAAGATGGTGGCGCGATTCCGTGGATTGGTTGAGGTTAGACATTAACACCATTGGATGCCGACTCAGTGGCCCAGTAGGTTAGGCGTTCGCGCACGAGGCCGGAGGCCCTGGGTTCGAATCCCGCGAGCGTGATCGTGGACGCGCACTGCTGAGGGGTCCCAATACAACACCAAGTCTGATCAATTTTGTGGGACTGTATTTATGTTTCAGTGGTTGAAAGAAGCGAAGTTATCCGTTTGAAAATTGTTTTTTGAAGTTTTGCTCCTAGACTATTTATTTTCTGCTTGAAATCATGCTATTCGTCAAAAGTAGGTAGTTCAGTTTATTCTGTTGTAACGAGTTATACTCCACAGATTTTATCATATACATTCATCTTTCTACTTCAATAAAGTACTTTTATCACCCTTACTTATCATTTTATTCCTCACTTTATTCCTATAGACGTTTCTACCAAACACTTTTCTCCTGGATCCAACTATTCTCATAAACAACTCACTTTTCATGTTGTTTATGACTTTAAAGTGTAGCCAACACCTAAAGGCCTCGCGACTCAAAGTTTTTAAATTCAGAACGTTCATTCTGACATTTACTGCATCACTAGATAATTTACATCTTTTGATTTTAGAAATTAGCGTAAACCTTATCTCGGCTAAATTTCACTTGAAAGCCCCCTACTTGGAATAAAGTATATTCGGCTTGATTAGCACAATGATCCACTGTAATTTCATCGAACTTCAAAAGACCATCTTATTTATTAACCTAATACACCTGGCTAGTGTCCAGAAGATAACCACAAACAGCTGTTAGTAATGTTGCATGGTATTAGTTAGAATCGATTGCAATGGTTCAAGTGTATGCTCTCTCTTCGTTTTGAGTAACAGTAATTCTGCTTGCGTGTCTTTGTCTTTTCGAAGTATATTTTCAATACCCAGTCTACCGCATAAACATCGTTACTACATTATTTTGACCATTTTACTACTAATCTTCCAAACTTCTTGTCGTGCTGAAGTAGCATAGAAACTTAAGTTAAAACACAAACCTGTTCCAGACCCATGTTGATAATGATAGACTGACCGTTTGATGTACAATCATAATTGACAACAGCATCTAGTACATTAACGTCACCTAATATTTGTTGGACGAATAAATGTTTCTTGAGAAACGGACATCATACGGTCAGTCATCTACAACGTAGGATCAAACACATATGCATCGGTCCTAGTCGCTCTACCTCATCACAACAAGATGAACACCAAATTCACAGAAGCAGTTACTTCAATTATAGTACCATATAAAAAAGATATGATACAGAGAGAATCAGTTCGTAGAAAGAAACGTATATAGTACTTTTAATCTCATTGTTTAATGAGAAAAGTGTATACACCTACTCCATTATGGTCGATTTTAAGCCATGTCGCCCAGTCTCCAACCATCATACAATTAAGTTAGAAATTCGAAGGAACAAACACTACAACGGATCAAAATTAACAACAGTATTATTTCGGGCAAACAAAACAGAACACGTTGACTATCTGAATTTGATTATTCAGACTAAGTGGAAAGATATTTGAGATCGCTTGTTGTAGGCTTCAAATAAATTTGTTCTGAAAATTATGTATATACGTATGGTACTGCTCAAGACCTTATGACTCGGCATAGCCACAAGAATAATGAGAGTTAAAAACTTACTAAAGAAAATTCACAGATACTGCACAAAAACGCGATTGACGCTACAAAATGCTTAAGATTGAGAGGATAATAAGAATTGGATACATTCGTCCGAATGTTTCTGATTTCCAACCAACTCACGCAAAGTTTGCAATCTGTATTTAGGACTCATCAGTTGCCTTATCAAGCCTAATGCTGCATTAAGGGTTATGAATTATACGAAAACATGCACTTACAAACACACTCGATAAAGCTTCACAACTTTACCAAGTGTCCTTTGGAAACGGCTTATCTGTAAGCGGTTTGTTATGCAACATTCACCTAAATAACTGGTTGACTTCCAAGCATTTTATGATGGATCTAACTATAAATGTCAATGCTGACAATGCAAGCGAAATATCTAGGTTTACCTGGGTCGGTGTTTTGGTAAGGACCGAACATCAAAATGATTAGTTATATCCAATAATCCACAATATATTGCAGTGAATTAGCATTGGTTACTTAGTGTGACCTTTATTCTCTCTTGACTGACCAGTCGTCAACTAACAAGTAGCATTCATACTATTACGACTGAGAATCTTGTGTTTCTATTTTGTAAGTGATATTCATCAGGAAAGATTTCATTTGGGATGTTACTGAAGACTAGATAGCGAGAGTAGACGGATGTTACGCCCTAGTATGGGCCTCTTCTGGAGTAGGCACCTACGACTACATCATGACTCGACCCCACAAGACCCACTGGTCTAAATCATAACAAACCCACAGGTGACTTACTTCGAAATGTGCTTATGAAGTTCTAGTGGGAAGTCACGATTAATAAAGTTCAAACATGTTATAATCCTCTCTTAGGGTTATAACCCAGCTATTCTTATTGCTTATTATTCTCGGACACGGATTCACTCGACAAGTCCCCCAAATCAGAACACGGTTGTACAGGAAAAGAGATTATATTCCAAATAACAAGGTTAGATGGAAGTAAGTAGCACAATAGGAAGAACGTTAGTATATTCATAGTTTTTGAATGAGAAGACTCCTAGAGTATTCTCCAACTATCGGCTAGTGCTGATTGGCTAATTCTTATCCAATCAGCGTGCACCAAAGCAACCGTGCATTGAGCATGCTTCAATCCAGTCTATGTCCCGCTAACACATGTCTAGAGTGAAACCAACTAGCTATTTCTGTGATACTAATGCATAAATTTCCAACAAATCATATACACTTACAATTTTGCTACCATTATTATGATTATTTTCAACTCTCAAATTCATGTGCACGTTCTATGATTTTACTAAACACCGACACTCAAGTACCCCGAACAGATTCATCTAATTGTAGTAGTAAAGCCTGATGAAAAGTTACCGAATATATTTGTTGAAATCTTTTGTGGATTTTCTGATTGAGTGAGCTTTTAAAAAGATAAATACCTATCAATTTATTGAGTATTACCTTTTCACTTATGAAAAACTTCGACAGACGATAGATAATATGATCATCGCTTTCATTTCCTTTAAGAAATAGTGCTTCCTAGCTGCAAGAAAGTTAGTACACAGAATTATAAGTTGATATAATGAGTTGCGTTATGGACCCGACGTATTAAAGCTACGCACAACTCATCTTGGAGCTAGTCCCAGTTGAGCGCAGGATTATTTAGACATAGTTTAGGCATTCATTTTGGATCTCCGAAGACATACAACCATTAAACCACTTAGCACATATTTCTAAAGCTATAATACTATTTTTGAGAAAGGATCAAGAAAAAGATTCGAGCTCTCTTCGGTTGTCAGACGGAACTATGTTCATAAATTTGTGCTTTATCATCAAGCAGCACTAAGTATGATGGAAAAACAGAAACTAGTCACCTATTACGTCATGCCTACAATGACAAAACAAAGTTTCCTCATTTTATTGATTAGTACAGAAACATATTAAGAGGGTGGAATAATATTTGTAACTATAAGTTCATAATTTCAGCAAAGTGCTCAGTGGAAATTAATAGCTAAATAATAAATTGAGTGCTAAATTCAAGTGACGAGGGAAGGGTTGCAAACGTCCAGAAGTAAATTCGGAATCAGTTTTTAAAATCTTAACATGAAATCTGGAGGGGGGGTTAGTATAAGCTAATGAGTCTTAATACAGGCCAATCAGAGTAATTAACAGTTTTGTTACTTCAGAATAAAACATTGAACCATCAACTTCAGAGGAATGTTGTTCATAACAAAACCAGACTACCTAATTGTCTAGTAACGCTTCATCTAAACAATCAGTTCACTAGCTCTTCATGAGAAATTTACCACAGAATGTAAACTCATTTTGACATAGTTGTATTTTAAAAATACAACTAATTTACAATTGCGATATAATACAGAAAACAAGGATATGTTTCTTTACATCTAAAGTCTCAGTTTAGAAAGCAAAGTTTCCCAGAATATGTCCTGAAAAAGTCTAGTTACTAGTTACCACTTTTTGGTCTGACGATGCCATTGTAGACAACTTCTTAGTAGTTTGCATATAAGCTTGCATAAATTTTGAGGCGCACCTATCTAAACAAACTGCTTCACCTTTAGTTAGATCACCATCATTATAATTAGATGGAATACATTTAGCTAGACAGCTACTTGTCATACTGGTAAATACTTGTTGCATCATTTCGATTTCAAACATTTGCATTTGTCTTTCAACAGCTTTATCACCTTTGGTCGACATCATGATTACGATGTTTGTTTGTTTACAGTCACGATTTTAAAATTAGCCAATTTATCAGCCTACAAACGGACATTTGGATAATAAAGAAATTAACAGAATGTTAACACAACACTTTAAGCAAATAAATGGTAATCTTGTTTCAAGTTTAAAAGTGAACAATAAAACAAATTGTGGTTAGCTTTAAAAGGGAAATGTTGATAAGATCATTTGCCGAAAACCACGGGAAACTTATAAATACGAACACTAAGGTTTCGATAAGTACTTATAGAGGTAACTAATTAGTTAAAGCACTCAACATTGAAATATTTCAGTACAGGCACGAACTCCAATTTAGTTTAGACAGTTTACATGGATAAAAGTTTGGCCTGAAGTTGAATATACAAAATAGTACCTATTGATATTGCATTTACTGTTGGGATAAAAAAGTAGAGAAAACAACTGAAATATATCGGTTATGTAGTCTTTTTCTAACCTCATATTGTTTAGCTTCTCCTGTAAAATCTGTTTGGAAGTATTTGACATCAGTAGAAAAGTAAGTTAAAACGAATGCAATGCAGTAATTTAACAACGGTTTAAACTCGTAACGACATAGTGATCCGACAAACATACTGAAAGCTAGTATGATGCATGGAATAATGTAAAAATTGTAAAACAAAGGTTAAGGCTTAGAGATTAAGTACATATATTTTGACGCATTTGATTTAGTTATTTATAAATACAACTAATGTATTAGGGAATGAAGAGATAGAGAAAAAACCAAGGGTATCATTTTTTTTGTTCTAAAGGGATTTATTAACTGTACTTTTTGAGTACAGAAACAAAAAGGGTAATGCTATTCCTCCTCATTGTGTAAACCTTTCAGTGTTGTTTGTATTCAAAGGTGTAAAAGCTTTTTTTGTACTTATTTTTATCGGATTTTTGTTTTCAGTTACAGTAACACATAAACCTCAGCCTTTTGTGTTCAGCGTCTGTTACATTTAAGGTCTTAAAAAAATATTATTCTAGAGATCAGATTTTTGTTGTCCTCTTTGTGAGGTCAATAAACAATTTTATGGCGCGAGTAAAACATCGTTGTGGTAGACCCGCGTGTCTTTTCCTGATCGAGAACGTAATGCAATGTGACAACTGCAACAAGTGATATCACAACATGTGCACCGGACTCACACCGGCTGCATATAAAAGGTGCTGTAACCCACTATCACGTTGTCTGTGCAAAACATGCTGCTCCACAAAGTCTCTGCTGAGTTTTGAAGTGATTTAACTGCTGAACATAGCTAAAAAGATGTCCTTAGATAAATAGCCAGCAGCAGATTAACAGTTCTCAGTTTTTGAGGAAGCAGCGAGTGTTATCATGAGTTCAACTTTGGATTTTAATGAAACCATCAAGATGGACCCAAATAGCATAGTGGATAACAAACAGATGTAGGCATGGTTACCGGAAAAAGCATGCTGAGAAGAAACAAATTATAGAGAGCTCTAAGAGATGTGAGTCGACGGTTTCAGGTCCGGATTCACATATCAACGCAAAATAGACTATTGAGGAGCAAAGCCTGAGCGGTGTAGATGATGTGACTAAGAGACAAAATAAGGTCGATGAACTACTTAAAGTTACACCCAGAAAAGAAAAGTAGCTAAACAAAGTGAGACCTTCGCGTCTAACTCCAAATTGAACTGCAGAAATGGAGATATTTTATGGAAGATTCTCTTAACTAATGAAAAATGACTGACTTGTCACAGGGACCCGTCTTAACATGCTGGATTTGAACACGATCTAAGCCACACCAAGCCCTTATTAAGCAAACTGCTTCCAGAAACGGTAGTTAATATCTATAAGCTTTGTACAATAGAGAAACAAGTGGACTCCGAGAGAGCGCAGAAAAGCTGCCTCTTAAAAGTTACCTTAGCTCCTGCTAAAGAAACCTAATACTGGAAAACGCACGCAAACTGACTGGGTCCAGAATAGACGTCCGTGAGGATCTCAGACTGGCTGGTCGTATTGAGTTATTATTATTATTTAAACGCATAAATATTAGTACAAGAAGGCACCAAATAGATATGCGCCGCATAAATCGTTAGGTTTGTGTGAAGGCTGAAATACTGCCTGGGTGCCCAAACCGGATCACGTGATTTTCCTAGAAGGCCAAACCTGGAACCTTTGACCTAAAGATCTAATCCACACGGCAGTGGAACAAAGTCAACAGATGCAGTCCCATGATAGTCGGTGACCAACAATTGGTTCATACGCCATTTGTTCCTACAGGATAATGGAGCCCACGTGCACCATTGGTTTGGAATCAGGGTTTCCCAACTCCTCTAAGTGAACTGTCTGTGCCCACCAACCCGGTTAAAACGCAGAACATTCGCTTTTCATCCTCTCAATTTCGTAAACAACAGTAATGCCGTGAGGAGACAGTGAGTAGGACTTTCCTGGCAGTTGTTTTATGCACGTGACCATGTGAGATATGACCTACACAACTCATCTCTATTGGGCCTAGTCTTTACACACGGGGACGATGTCAATCAATCAACTATTTCGGGACAGTTTTCACTCAGATGCACCTTATAGACAAAAATATAGACCCAAATACAAAGTCAAAAAATCGTCTGCTCATTGTGGACTTCAATTGAGACGATGTTCTCAAGACCCTTAACATCCTAGACACAGAAAAGTCAGCAAGACCGGATGAACTTCATCTGAAAATACTCAGGCAACCTACACATTATGTTGCTGCCCCATTGACTACGATATTTAATGTGACTTGGCCAAGGTACGTTGCCTATAGACTGAAAGGATACAATTATCACTCCAATACATAAAACAGGATCAAGCCAACTGTCATCAAACTACAGACCTGTCAGTTTCACCAGTGTAGTAGATAAAATACTGGGAAGAATGACCAAAAAGACCATAATGGCATTCGTGGAAAGCAACAACTTATTCACCAGTGAACAACATCGTTTCAGCAAAGATCTATCTTGCGCAACAAATCACCTTATAGCATGAGAGAAATGGATAGACACTCTAGATAATGGAAAATCAGTGGGTGTTTTCCACATAGACTTCAACAAAGCATTTGATAAGGTGCCAAAAAGTAAACTACCCTTGGAGCTGGTAAATCCCGGTATTACCGGACCTTTCTTAAAATGGCTTAAGGATTTCCTGGTAGGTCGTAGGCAGAAAGTAAGAAAAAATTCCGAATGTTCTTCCTGAAAAAAACAGTACTTAGTGGGATACCCCAAGGCCCTGTCCTAGGTCCTCCACTTTTTATGCTGTATGTAAAGGAACCCTCAACTATAGCTGTCCCCAATGCTAATATATGCTGATGGTGTGAAAGCCTGGTGAAAAATGACGGGAAACGCAGATGCATGTGCACTTCAGGCAGACTTAGATATTCCGATTAACTGGTTAGATCCTACTATGTTCACTATAGTATACACATGTGTATACTAAGGTTGCAACTAAACATGGGAAGTGTTCAGGTGTCAAGCCCCTGTCCAAAATGTGGCTCAGATATCCTAGAAAAAGTACATAGGGCAGCTACCCGTGCAACGCCAGAACTCCGGGGTTTACCATATAAAGAGCAGCTTGCAAAGCTAGACCTCTTTATTCTGCCCTACCGCAGACTAAGAGTTGGTGTGATCTTGATGTATAGAATACTAATAAATGACTTTGGACCCAATATATTACTCTTCATCCTACCAGATCGGGACAACTCAGAGGACACAGCAGGCTAGTAGAAAAGCCAAGAAAGAACAAAATACCTGAGGCATACAGGTTTTCACATCGAGTCGTCAATTCTTGGAACCTGTTACCTGAAGCAGTAGTGTTAGCACCTTGAATTAAACAATTCAATAGAAGACTAGAAACTCACAAAAGCATACTGGGAAAGGAATAACATAGGCCGTAGGCCTTCTGTCCTTACTACACAAATATGAATTAAATTTAATTAAGCTTAAGGCTGTTGATCATCTAATGATTTCACTGCATTTTTATTTGATTAATCTATAACATGCAAATAAAAATAGCATATACTAAGATGCTCTCAATATGAAGGAAATGTGATGGTCAACCTTACTCACAAAATTACAAATGCTTGACAATAAAACAATGCCTACTCATTTGTGTTTTTGCGGTGCTCAAATTTGACCTAGAACCTTTACAATATTCAATGAATATATGAAAAGCTTGTGTAAACTGATCAGTTCTTTTGCGTTCGCTTCTTGTTATTTCGAAAGACTCGGTAATATTTGACGAGTGGTAGTCTAACCACTCAACTTCACTAGTTCTAGTCAGTTTCGCAGTAGTTGTTTATGGGCTTTTATATCTTATGGTTTGAGTGGGTGCGTTTGTCTTAAGGCATTAAGGTTTCTTGGCACTACTCTTAGTGTGAGGAACTGAGATCTTACCCAGCTTTATCGATATTTTATGTGTAACTTTCTGTGGTTGCTTCGCGGAGTGTGATGGTGATGTTTTTGTGGAGTGTTCATGTCGGAGTGACTTAGCATTTTCAGTGTCTCACATGATATCAGATCACTTCATATTCTGATGTAGCTGAGAGAGAATAATTCCAGGTTTTGGAGCCTATCTTCTTGATACTTACACTCTAAATCTACTAACCACATGATTGCTTGTCCCTGTACGTGGTCTAATAGATTTGTATCTCTTATGAAAAGAGGGAGAACAACGGAATCGCAAACCGTGGGGTGATGTTGTGCGTACGTTTTAAAGTGTTAGGAACAACTCTCGGATGATTGCATCAAGTTGTCGTCGCATAAAGTGGTCAGCTGCGTCTTGCTCTGGCTGCACACCCCATAAAGTTTGAGTAGGTGTTGAAGTACTTTGTGGTTACGGACCCGATATCATGCTCTGAAGGTATTATTGCTTTGTATCAAATGTAACAGAATGTTCATGATATGACACTTCGACAAGTGAAGTTGTGATCGACTGTCTACTACCTATTCTACTACTGTTGCAAGGTCCTTTGAAGCTCAAGTGAATCTTTTTCGCTTTATATGGGCTATCAGATCTTTTCATTGCCTGCATAGATCAGCGTTGCTGAGTTTGTCTAATCTAACAGGTCGTTAGTAAGGATCAGGAATAGGAATGAACCTAAGATTGTTCCTTGTGAAACAACTGATGATGAGACCTTTCGGCTCACACGCACCCTATTCACCTTGATACAAAATGTCCTATTCTCAGTAAAACCTATACTTGTAAGTATCGAAAAATATGTGCAGTAGTGTTGAAGGCTTTTGTGAAATCAAGAAATACTACACGAACCGGTATCATGTGTTCCTGGCAGGTCATCCTGCTCCCTCATGCTATGAGGAGACTAAACGCACAAAACCTGCTTTTTTGAACCCGTTTTGAGCTCCATGGAAGATGTTATTTCAATTAGTTCATTATCTCATTTATCCACTGGGCGCCTTTAACAGCATTGAAAGTAATGAGACTGGTCTGTAGCCACTCCTTCAATTATTTGAGGAGAGGTGACCTGGTTTCATTCCCTCGGCAGGTGGCGTGAATCTAGTGAGTGCCTGAAAAGGCCACACGTCAGTGTATTGATAGTTCCCGCACGCTGTTTCATGATTATATATCGGGTGTTGTCATATCCTAGTGACTTTCCTGGGCACAGGAATTTCCACCTCTTTAATGCTGACCCAGGAGTTGTTGGACTCTCAACCAGCACTACAGCTGAGAAATGTTCCCCACCTACAGGCTTCTAGTTCTGTTGGTCAACGAATTTGGCATGAAAGATCTCTGCAATCTTTGAGCTAGTGTGATAGCCATTTGACTCTCGAAGAACACAGATCTCATGGTTCGTATGCTTTCACCCAGTCGTTAATCTGTAGAGATATTTGTGGTTAGCTTGCATTTTGGAGACTAGCTTGGTGTTACGTCCAAGTTTTGCTCGTTCTAGTTATTGAAGTACGGACTATCGATCTACTTGCAAATTACGAACCCAAATTAATAACAGAACCAAACTCCAATTTGGATACCAAATTTATTCGTAATTCACAAATAATCGACCAAATGTCGTTCTAACAACAATAATTATAATAATTACAAAACAAACCTTCAATTTTGTAGGTTCCCGGAGCAAAACCCTCAAATACCAAACCAAAGATAGAGAGAGCACCAAAATACCAAACCAAGGACAAACCAAAATGTCCGAAATAATGATATAAACAAACAAGTTCAAAGTTAAGTAAAACAATTACATCCAAAAACACAGTAAATTATTAATGTACAATAAAAAGGTTTTAATTTGCCAAATGTCTTCAGTTCTCCCGTAACACTCCCGACCAAAAGAACCTTGGTTCTTTTCACAGACAAACAAATAAGCAACAATAATCCAAATATATGCATCACAAACAATCAACAACAAACACTCAATATACCAACAATTTCGTGATCCCTAGGACTTACACCAGTACGCCTAGGGACCCGAGTAGCTACCTACCATCTACGGCTTCAAGAAGACACAGTTTTCTAATATCTCTCACTAGGATTCCCTTTTTTGTCCTCAATTCTACCTGCCTCACTAATATATCCTTACTTGGTAACACTCTCTGCACTAGACCCAAGGGCCATTTGTTTTTCTCGGAGAACTCGGAACATATCATTACTAAGTCACCCTCTCGTATGTTCCTCTCTAGTTGGGTCCACTTGTATCTACGCTGTAACAACGAAACATATTCCTTAGACCAACGTCTCCAAAATACTTGTGCCAAGTAATTCGCTTGCTTCCATCTCTTAGAATACCTGTCAATAGATAGGACGTTAGTGAGTTCGGCGACGTTCTCTCTCAATAGTAATAGTTTCGCTGGTGTTATTGCATCGAGATCATTAGAGTCGTCCGTATCCGGAACCAAAGGTCTATTGTTAATTATACGCTCAGCCTCTATCATGAAAGTTTCAAGGCATTCATCTGTTAAAGATTGTTCCTTTACAAGAGCACCCAATACTCTACGTACAGAGCGAATCATGCGCTCCCAAACTCCTCCCCAATGACTAGCAGCCGGAGGACTGAAATGCCAGTCAATCCCTTTTCTTAGCAAATCAGAGTGTATACGCACCTGCACCCAATCCTGAAGACATTTTCTTAGCTCACGTTCAGCCCCCACCAGATTTGATCCATTATCACTGTATATCTCTTTTGGATAGCCTCTCCTGCCGATAAACCTCATCAATGCCATGATAAATGAGTCTGTGGTAAAACTATATGCAACTTCCAGATGCACAGCTCTCAACCTTAAACATGTGAACACACAACCATATCTCTTCTCGGTACATCTACCATGTTTAACCATAATGGGTCCAAAATAATCTACACCAACTGATAAGAATGGATACTCACCATCTTCTATTCTGCTCGGAGGTAGTGGCGCCATCAGTTGTTGGATGGGGCAGGCGTTCCTCCTTTTACAATAAACACAATCCTTAATCACTCTCCTCATGGTCACACCACCCCTCAGCACCCAAAATTTTTCTCGAACTGTTGCCATTACCTGTGTGGCTCCAACATGCCCTTCCAAAATATGATAATATTGTAGAATCAAATTTGTAACTCTATGCTTTGATGGTAATATTATAGGATGCTTCCTCGACTCAGGCCAGGAACTAATTTGAAGTCGGCCACCAACACATAATAATCCGTTTAACATCATTGGATTTAAGATCCGCAACGGTGAATTTTTTATTTTCGCCTTGCTAATGGTATCAGACGACAATATTTCAATCTCTTTCCGAAATACTCTGCGTTCGACATATCGAATTAAATCTAAACAGGCTAAATTTAATTCATCAACTCTGAGCATACCCACCTGTAGAGACAGATCTGTTTTACCAGAGCGCATGATCAATAGATATCGCTTGAATCGGGTTAACCATGCAACAGCCTTAAGTAATTTAGTCCAATCTGAATAGTAATTAATAAGTAAATCGACGGAGGATTCTTCAATTAATACATGCGTGGACATAGCTTTCTTTAATTCCAAGAGATGGGGATCAGGACCTCGTATATCAGCAGCAGGCCAACAGTCCTTTGGCTTCCTCAGAAAATGCGGACCCTCCTCCCATAACTTGACGTCATTGATGTTGAACTTGACCCCTCTGGATGTGAAGTCTGCTATGTTTTCATTAGAAGGTACGAATCTCCATTGGTCCACTTTAGTAAGACTATGAATAGTCGAAATCCGGTTTGCTATGAATGTTTTAAACTGGCTTTTCTCATTTCTAATATAATGTAAGACAATCATAGAATCCGTCCAAAATCTAACCTCTGCAAACTTAACATCTAACTCGAACTGCAGCTGGGACCCCATGCGAGCTGCTAACACTGCAGCCGTAAGTTCCAAACGCGGTATAGTTTGAACTTTCAAAGGGGTTACTCTTGCCTTAGCCATAATAAGACGAGAACATACTTCAGTGTCATGGGTGTGAGAGCGGACGTATGCCACTGCACCATATCCAGTTTCCGAGGCATCGCTGAAAATTTTAAGTTCCAGGAGCGAGCGATCTGACTGCATAGGCAATACGCAACGTGGAAAACTAACGTCCTCAACCCCCTGAAATTCACTTAAAATACGTAACCAATGTCTGCTTTCCTCATATGGAATCTCTTCGTCCCATGCTAGTCCCAGTTTACCTAAACGTTGGAGTAACTGCTTCATTGGAAGTATAAACGGTGCTAACAATCCCAAGGGATCGTAAAGTGAGGCTACACCCGACAATATACCTCGCCTAGTGAGGGGACGTTTCGGTATGCGAACTTTAAATTCAAACGAATCAACCATAGTATTCCAGAATAATCCCAATGTGCGTTCCGTAGGAAACCTTTCAAAGTCAATCTCTCTTACGGCTTCTGCTCTTTCCTCTGGATGAATTGATTCGAGAACTTGTAAACAGTTACTTATCCACTTCGTAAGTCTAAACCCACCTTTTCTGAGGAGTAAAGCAAGGGTTTTTGCTAGCTTAATTGCATCCTGCACGTTGTCAATGGAGGCTAAATAGTCGTCGACATAGAAACTCTTATCTGACAGTTTACTCTGTATAAGGCTATTAAACTGACTGATGAAACGGTAATACTGACCCGGTTGCCCATCAAAATACATCATATCGATCTTAGGTAAAACCATGTTACTAACCATTGTATGTAACGTGTCCTTCAGTTCGCCAACCCAATCGACCTTTGAGATGTTACATACGTTCCCTGA